TATCAAATCTTAGAGGATGTTATTGATATAGTATTTATAAATTAAGTGTTATTCTTACATTTGTAAGTTTAATCTTTTTGTCTTTGTATCAGCTTAAATAACACATGTAAAAATTAGAGTAGTGTATAATGGATGATTTACTACTAGATTAGCTCCTTTATATTGTAATAAGGGTTGAGGAGTCTTTCTACAAGTATAGCAAGATGACATTACTTTACCCAGGAAGAGGTACAATCTTGACAAGCTTATTTACAACAATATATTGGCAACATTCTTAGGTATAAAATAATTCATAAGTAATTTTAGTTCTAGATGTTTTGATTATTGCAAGTGGTAGGTGGTCTTAAATGAGAGTATGGAATAACTAAAATGCCATGTTTTAGCAATGTTTTAAATAATCATTTTTAAAATATTTAGTTTCTAGCAATGGTTCTTAAAAGTAGTATCAAAATATTATCTTTTAATCTTTTTGTTGAGGCAGTCAATTCTTTGAAAAAAACTCGTTTGTGACAAAATCTTTTAAGAAGTCAACTTATTTATGTGAAATAGATGACATGGATTGGGAAACAATGAAGGGAAATGGAAGGCATAGGGAATAAGAGATGGATGCTAAGAATAAAGATGAAAGGAATTGGAGAGAAGAATTAGAAATAGAGTGAATGGAAATAGGGTATGAAAAGAGGAGGAGAAAGATAGAAAAAGAGGTGCAATGATGGTTTTGATAAGTAGATTGATTTAGTAAAAGTCAATGTCAATTTAACATTTCCATATATAAAGATATATATATATATATATATATATATATTCAATTTTATAAATATATACTTATTTAAAATATAGAAGTCAAATATTTTTTTAATATAATATATATATATCTAATACTATATTTATATAAAAATAAATAAAAATAAATCTGAAATATGTAAAATAAAAGATTCTAAAATAATTCACATTTAATAGGAATAAATTAAAATTAAATATTAACACCAATTATAATCATTATCATAGATATCTATTTTTGTATTTATTTTTTTGTTTTAGTATATTATAGTATAAAAATATTTTTGAATATCTTTTTAAAAAAAAGACAAGGATTTGAATTTTGAATTTATTAATTTAAATTAAACCAAAATAATTTATACTAATATTCTATACTTGTATTTAAATTGAGTGAGGTTATAAATTCAAAGGTGGAAGAAGTTTAATTGGTTATGTGTTTAATAATTGCATCCAACCTCTTATTTTATATTATTAAAATATCATAAATTAGCATTATCATTTTGAATAAAGATGATGAATTCTATAATATATATATATATATATATATATATATGTATATATATATATGTATGTATGAATATTGAAGAAATAAATTATTGCTTTTGTGATTAATTTGTTTGATTCTTCAATCTGTACTATTTGTGCTTTAATATTAAATTGCATATACTAATATATTTTATTAGGTGCATAAGGCTTTATTCGATCTGTAGCTTGAAATACTTCATTTAAAATAGTAAACAGTGTCCAATAGTTATTTTAAATATATTGTTGAATATGTTTTATTTTTTCTATCTGTAAAATCTTACTTCTTTGAAATTCTGAAATCTAATATTATCTACTAGTATTGCATTTTTTTTTCATAAGATTTATTAATGTGATATTTATAATAATATTTAGTATTTTCAAAGGTTATTTCAATACAAAGTTTGTTTAGAACTAGACCACTCTTAGTTTTGTTTTCAACTTTCTTTAAGCTATTTAAAAAAATCAAAAGTGCTAGGTTTTAATATTAGATCAGTTCATATTAGAATATATTAGAATAAGATAGAATTTTAAATAATGTTAAATCAAATAATTTGACAATCCAACAATTAGAGATTTAAAAAGAGTAACAATTGTAAGTAGCCTTAATTCTCAGCTCTTACATAGTACAAAGCTACAAGCTACTATTTAGTATAGAACCAATGACAACTAGTTTAAATATTGATTACACAAGAATGTAATTATTAAGAAGATAGAGTACAACTAAATAGACTATTCAATTATGTATTAGTTAACATTTGGAATATACACCTATGAACTATCAAGTGTTCATATCAACACATGATGTTTAATATGAAATTGACTACTAATAATAACACAATTTGAACATATAATATTACCTATTTAATTAATTATTTTAGAGTAAATTAACATATACCATATTACATGCAAGTGCCTTATAATATTCATAATCCCTACAAATGTTGTACTATCACAATTTAGTTAAATTAAAATAATTTTCAAAATCCATTTATTTAGTGCTTAAAGAAGAATACTATTTTCTAAAATATAAAATTTTATAGTTTACAGAGCTTAAATTTTACCTTTTCATTGCAGACACATCATTTTTCAATTTTTAAAATTTAAATGTAATCCACAATGAATGTTTACTCAAAGACGCAACCACCCAATATCAATACATCAAGCATGGCAACATCTGAATATTGCCTCATTGACTTCACTCAACTTGAAAACTTGCTGAAAGGGGTAGCAGAAATCATGTACATGCATCTGCAATGAACTTGTCCTTCAAAAGATGGTAAGCAGTTGCCCGAAATAAGCTGGCTATGCAAATCCCAGATGTAAAATTCTGAACTTGACGGCTGGAAAAAAAAAAAAAAAACAAAACAAAACAAAACAAAAGCAAAAAACAAAAAACAAAACAAAACAATACTCTCCTAGTCCCCCTGCTCAACAGAAAGATAAATTTAAAAAAGAAGCAGAAGAAGAAGAAGAAGAAGAAGAGAAGAAGAAAAAATAAAACATCAACAACAATGTACAATTACGATATGGACAAGTTTGCAAAACAAAGAGTGTTATGGCGTCTAGATTTTGCGGCAACACCACATCGAGGATTTCGCCGCTCTGTAGCCGTGAATGAGGTCCAACTAGACTGCGTCCACCGACGCGGCAACCTTGACGTTGTTGCTCGCAGAAGCGCAGGAATTCGCAGCCGAGAATCCGTAATCCTCACTGTGCCCCACGTTGTTTTGTAATTGCCTGGTGTTGATGCATTTGCGGATGAGCGCACAACCTAAGTACACGAGGAGAGTCTCACCGAATATCGATCCAACCAGTGTGAGCAGGAGTTCCCATTCTGCTAGTCGACGCTTTTGGACTGGACACAGAGTTTTAAAACCAGCAAGACACCACAGTGCGTGCACTGTGAGCTGGTAAGTCGTAAGCGGTGGTTGTGGGAAGCAGAAGCTGTGTTTTTATTTATTTATTATTTTAAGAAATGGAACTGGTGGTGGATGTTGCGGAGCGTACGCGTTTGGATCGCACTCGTAGGAACCCACACTACATTCGTTGACGTTCACTCCTGCACGGAAGGCAGAATTGATCTCTTCTCCTGTCGTATAAGAGGCAAGCGAGTTTCCAGGTCGATTCGACCTTCAAGCTTCATACCCAGGCTACTAACAGCATTCCAGACATTCTCAGAAAGAACTTGAAGATATTGAATTGTGTGTACAGTGCATTACCTTTTGCTTCAATGGGACGGATGTGCACAGTTGCCAAGGTAATCAGCGTGACCGTGAGGACCGGTGCCTTCCATGCACTGGCTACCATTTCTCGACCTCGAACGTTGTACCTACAGTACCCAAAAAAGAAAAAATGCCATGAGAAGCAGCTTGAAGTGAATCAGTCGATTGAAAAGAAGATGAAACGGAAAGGTCTAGAGCGCGTGAGGTTTTCAAAAAGGGACTCATCTGCACAAGAATGATGATTCAGGGGATTCCGTGGAGTTGCAAACTGGCTGTAGTCACCAACGATCTAACTAAGTTGTAAGTTTTATTTGAATGCATCACTAATTCTAGCAGCCTGGGCACGAGACTGAACTGCTCTCAGCATATCAGCATCACAGAATGGAAGCGGGAGCCCAAAGTCTCCTAAAGCCTGCCTTGAACCCCCCTGCAATGAGCCCCAATCATTCAGTGCTCCGGCATTCACGATATAAAGGCCGTCAGAGGACTAGTCTTTACGCTTTCGCTTGAACGGGGTTTGGTGTGCACGACAGATTTCTCCTGCAGAACGCACCTGGCCTCTGGACGTCAATCATCCATCTACGACGCGTACCACACTTCCAAGGTAGTGGGTGAGTCGAGAGACCACGAATAGCTTGGTTCTCGGCAGCGTCTACTCTTCTTTGTGAAAGAACTCGATTTGTGAATGGACAAAAGTAATCTTCCCTTGAACGGAGTCTGTGCACGGAACATGCCATTTCATTGAAGAAATATGGCGCTTACTCCAGCTCCAGCAACCGGCTTCTGATGCCGCTGAGGTTTACCCGCTGCGTCCACTGGATCTAGGGTTATGAGCAGCCCAACCCCTGTGGAATGAAAAACGAAATTAAAGTAACTTCCTACCACTGATTTTAAGAACTTTAAACATTTTGAAATCAATTCTACCAGGTGCCAAACTAGTTTGGTTGAGCAGGCTAGGACAAAAATAGCCTCCCGAAAATCATGGGTTTGCACTAACCATACTTGTGAGCCCGTTCTGGATAAGAAAGTGAATATTCCTGTATGTGTGTGTGTGTGTGTGTCTTCGTGTTTGAGCGCTTTTATAAACAACACTATGTAAATTTAGAGTGAAGGAAATCACCGTCGGAATAACATTATGAGAATATAGTAGAAAAAAGGCTCTCTGTCTGTGTACTATTTTCACCCGGGTATTAGCTCAGTTTCACTTCGCCAGCTCCAGGAACCCAGATACCTTGTTACCATTCATTTCGTGGAAGAGAACCTCTCGCAACCTCAGCAGAACCAGTTACAACCGTGAGAACCAGCCATAGGCACTCCGAAATGGACGAAATCATATGCAGGTTGGAGTTTCTCAGTTGTGACACGGAGTCAAGAGATCTCACTAAAATTTGGTGAAGTTTACGAGTTATACGGACAGTTACTGATAACCGCTTCCCTCTATCTCTCGGTTAGTTACAGCTCCCCCCCGCTCCTCACTTCCCCTCGTATTATTTCACTCATTTGGACTCGAAGAATGCTACTCTCATCCTCCCCTCTCCGCTAATAAGCTAAATGAATGTCGACAAGTGTGTTTTCACAGTGCTCGTGACTGCGTCCCCTCAAAAGTGGAGACCCATACCGCAACTCAAGGTTGAGCGAAGGCTGGTTTGAACGGAGACTTTGAACATACAAAAAACATAAATGAAATAAATTGTCGGATTCTTATCACAATCCTGTGCAGCTGTTAAAGGAGTTTATGTAGTGCAGGGAGTAGCTATTTCAGAATATGCTGCTGCATTGTCTAGATCTAAAAAGTTGGAGGAATAAAGATAAAAAGTAGAGAAATATGTTCGGTTTTAAAGACGGTGAGTTTTGACTGGGTGACCAAGAGGCTCATCTCAAGAGATGGGGCAGCTGCGGGCTGCGAGAAGTGAAACTGCCGCAGTCTGGATACTGGTCATCCTCTTGGCTACACAAGGTGCTACTGTCGTCTAACTCCCTCATACTCTTGGATTTTGCTGAAGTCAAGTAAAGTCACTGAATCATCGAACTTCATACACAATCCTTTTGTGTGTCATTGTCTACACTCACGTCCAGAATCATGCGCGTTGCCTCAACAGATGTCCCACAAGTGACATCGTGGCCGGAGTTGAAGACAACTGCCGCACAGGGTAGTGGCAACTGGGTTCAAGAATCGACAAGCAACTCACACACGCACCGCAAGGACTCGGGTAACATTGAGCCATCACAGACGCTGACGAGGCGAACTTCCAGGCGGCATCACCTGGCAAATTATCCGGTGCTTAGTCAGAAGGCTGGTTGTCATGTTTATCTGCACCCCGAAGGAGAGTCTCTCGTCGATTCTGTATCATTAGAAGGCAAGCTCATATTTCCACACAACTTGTGCTGCGCCAATCGCTAAATAATACATCGTTAGGTGATGCTAACGTGGAGATGTGATGGAGATGAGGATGCGCAGATAACAGCGGTTCACCGCAAGGGATGACAACGTGGCCAAGGCTGGTGGAGTGTGCCGATGCCCTCTGCTTGGTGCAGGCCATTCTCACCAAGGAACCCCAGATTGTCGTCACGCGCGACATTGATGTTTCTGAATCCCTGCCGCTTCCTGACATAACCTCAAAGACAACAATAGTGGGTACATGCTCCGGAGATCCGTGCATGATCAACGGTGGAGGCATGGGTCAGATTTTCATTGTTGGCCTCGGCGGAATGCTAACCCTCAAGCACTTGGAGATCTGTGGGGGCACCTGCAGTGAAGGATCGGCGGTCCTGGTGTCGGGCAACATGCATGGTCAAGGTGGTCGTCTCTTGGCTCTCAATGTCCTCTTCCGCAATAACACGGTGTCCGGGAGCGGAGGCGCGGTCATGGTGAAAGCGGGAGCTCTCGCCCACATCCGCAGCTGCGTCTTCGAGGAAAACAAGGCAAGCGCCACTGATTCCCACTCCAAGTTTCGGTACTCATCGCAACACATTCTTCTCTGTTTTGGTTTGTTGGCTAACATAGTTTGTTTGGAGGGATTAGTGCAGGCCTCCCGGGGAGCGGCACTGTTCGTGGGATCAGCTGAGGAGTATCCCGTGCCCCTCAACGACTCGAGTCAGTGCGGCATTAAGACGTGCGTCACTGTTGTCGATACTGCCTTCTGGCGCAACGAAGCCAGCTGGGGAGGCGCTGTTTACGTCGACGACGCTCTCCCTCACTGCCATCACCTTGGCGGACCCAAATTCGAGTGTACTACCTGCAGCTTCGTCAACAACACCGCCTGGGTAAGCTGGTTTCTTGAGCTCCAGTGTCGCACAAACAGAGTTGCTGCAGGTGAACAGTTTCAGGCTACAAAGTCGTGGAAATCGGAGCTCATTTCAGTCGTATATCTGCACAGGTTGATGGAGGCGCCATGTTGCTGGCATTCCTCTCCTCTGGCTCCATTGCGCATGTCAAAATGAGCAGCTTCCTCAACAACACTGCTAAGGTGAGTACTCATGTGCCGTGTTTGGGTACATTTATGCGTGATGTTGTCGACGTTTGTTCTGCATTCCTACTGTTGTTAAACTCATCGATGTGTTCTCGAACAGGACTTTATCAAGAAAGACTAACGATTTCCCCGTTCGAATGATTGTCAAACAATGCTGTGCAGGCATCAGGAGGTGATGTTGAGTTGCAAGCTGGGATAGATCACACACACGGAGTAGAATTCGTGGCTTACAAGACTGAATTCTCTGGCTTTAGCGGAGTGGTGAGTGCATGCTGGCAAAGCTGCCGTTTGATCTAGTCTATACATTCTGCTCAAGCGGTTTGCACAGTGAAGTTTTGAGATTGAACAATCGTGAATATCAATCAATCTTCAGCAATCTGATCGTGAGTTTGGGTTACGAAGTGATTTTGCATTTGTGTGTGATGTAGGGTGGCTTTGCCGTTGCAGTGAAAAGCTTTGCACAGGCCAGTTTCATCAGATGCAGAGAGAAGGTAGCCAGCTTGGATGGAGCCCAGTTAAATATATATTTTTGCAGTGAATTGCTTATGGCATTTCCTGAAAAGATGGACATTTTTCCCTCGTGGATACGTGTGTATGAATGTGAATGTTTCGTGAATTTCCTACTTGCAGGATGCGAATGCAATTTATTGCGGTGGTCGGATATGTGAATTTTGTCCCAAACGAGGAGACCAGTACACGGTATTTTCCATTTCTGTTTGGGGTTTTTACAAGTTCCAAATTTCATTCCACATGAAGTTCGGTTTGTTAATTTTATTTCTTAATTTTCAAAATTTTCAAAAATAAAATCTATGGATATTAGAAAAATCTCACAAATAAGTTAACAAAATTATAAATAATTAGTAACTTTACAAAAGAATAGCTTTCTTTCTTCTTCTTTTAACAAGGATTGTAAACGATTCATAATTTTTCCAAACAACTTGTCGACAGATGGCACCTTCTAATGGACTATTTTCTGGCAATTCTTCGCAAAGTAACATTCCAAAACATTCTAAGTTGATTCAAACTAAGCACAATTGATAATACATTTAACATGAATATACATTTACATTATACATAAGCACATCCTCACACACAAATGAACTAATACTAAATAATCATATTTAGTACTTAAAATCCTTTTTTTTCATTTTTTTTTTTCTCCCCCTCCCTCTCCCAATTTTAGGTGAAATGTGTCCACCACCTTTGCCCCCCCTTTGTGAATGGATACCTCAGGAGTGCATACTTCCACCTCCACCACCATCTCCACCACCACCATCTCCGCCACCTCCAACACCAATAGCAGTGCCTCCAGTTTTAACACCAACATCCACTTGTATGTGCCCTCCTCCATCAACCCCACATACAAATGGACATGTTGTTGGAGATCCTCATTTTTTTGGAAAACATGGAGAACGCTTTGATTTCCATGGCAAAAACAATCAAGATTATTGTGTCATTAGTGACACAACGCTACAAATTAATATGCACTTCTTTCAGGGAATTCATAAAAGTAGCTCAGTAAGTTTTTTTTTTTTTTTTTTTTGGCATTTTACATATTTTTATGTGGTGTGTTTAACTGATATTATTTTTTATGTATGTGTATGTGTATTTATGTTTATATACTAAATATATAACATTCACAACTAAATTTTTTATAGAGGGCTAACTAATCATTTTTTTGGATCATCTTTTGCAGTTTATTTCAATGGTCGGTGTTATATATGATAATTATTATGTTCTCATCAATGTACATCCACATTTAAATGAAAGCCAATCAAACCTTATAGGATCTGTTGTTAAGATTAACAATGTAAGTTGAGAATCTTTGATATGAAAAGAATAGCTTTTTGAATAGAATTAATAAAAAATAAAATAAATTGATATCATGTTGTATTTATTATATATATATATATATATATATATATATATTTGGTACACTTAGTAATCTAGAAATGTAATATGATTTAATCAGATATTAAATAATCCAGATTTGGAATAATAAATGTTATGTAGGTGGAACTTCCAAAAGGCAATGAATTTATAAGTCAATCCAATCGAATGACAATTAGTTATTATCCTACTTTCATTCATGTTCGTATACCCAATGTAATAGACTTCAATGTAACAATCATGAAGCCTACTTTTGGTATACATGGATCCGGAGCTAATTATGTAAGCAACTTTAAATTTATGCACATTTGTTTTTTACTTATTAAAATACTTCTAACACAGAATCTTCTTATTTTTTAAAACCATTTCACAGCTATTTGTAAATAATTTTCTACCACAAATCGGATTAAATTGACACTTTCTGTAACATGCATTGGATTGGAAACATATTGCAGATTAATTTCCAACTGAAAGAAATTAATGTTTCTCATCAAGTGCACGGTATTCTTGGTATGATCAACATGCTTTGTATTCACAAAAAATAACACACACACACACACACACACCTTTTACCATTAAAAACAAAACTTTCAAAACCAAGTTTCAATAGATACAAGAAACTTAAATTTAACTACAGGAAACGAAAAAAGAAAACCAAACTATTACAAATTAAAATTCTTGTCTTAAAAGGGTTACTGAACTACTTATTTGTATCATTATTATTTATTTTATTATAAATTATTCCTACTACGTATGTTCTGTAGCATTAACCCCTCAAAATGGTAAATTTTTGTGCAGGGCAAACGTATCAGGAAACAAAAGAAGTCTACATGAAATTGCATCAAGCTCATGGAATGACACCAAAACAGGCCGCCAAAGTTTTCATGGACGGCAGAGAGGATGATTATCTCACCACCGGAATTTTTGCCGCGGATTGCAAGTTTGCTGAGTTTCAGGTGTGTTCTTCACTATAGTTGAACACTACACACACACACACACACATATATATATATATATATATATATAGCAATATTTGTGTGTGTATAGTCTATCAGAATCTCAGTGTATTGCAAAACTCATGGATAATTCGATACGATTTTCAAGAGCTACGCATTGATCCACGTTGTCCAGGGACAGAAGGGATTTTCTGCCACAGTGAAGAGAACTCTTCTACAAACGGCAAAGCGAATCCTGCGAGCTCAGGAGGACGAGGAGCTTGTCATTGGATGTGCTGGAGTTGGAGATCCTACAGCTTTGTGTGTCGATCTCATCGACGACTGGATCAATTGAAAAAAACGTGTTCAGGCTTTTAGATATTTACATTTATCATGTTAACAAATGAAAGGATAGAGAAAAAGAATGAAAGAGGAAGAAGAAGAAGCTGTTGTTCCAATTTAAAGTCTGAATGAGAAGCATTTGTTGAGGTGCGTGGGACTGGTGCTGAAAGCTGAGATGAACGATGTCCACCAGGATGGCTCATGATTTGTGATTGTTCAGTGTTTCTTCTGCCGAGGAGTTCATTGCTCCAGGAGCGCTGCGTCAATAGCGTAAAAAAAATTCCTTACTCGTAACAGCGTCTGCAAACCTCGACAGAAAGATTCATGTGCGGCATCTGTCTGAAATAAAATGTACAAAAGCAGAAAGAAATATGTCTCTAGCAAAACCCAGATCATTATCCATTCGCTATATCGAGGTAGTGAACGGGAAAAGGGCATTTGGTCTAATCTTTGAACTAGTCAAAATGCATCTCATGTATCCCAACGTATCGGCGACGTTATCTTCTGCACTTGAACGTCAGTGCCATGGAGTTCCCGGATCTCAAACCTGGCGTTGGTTTCAATGACTAACGGTGTCTGAAATTTCAAGTTTCGAGTCCACTCGTGTTCAGTATGAAAGCATATTCTGCACCGCAAGAACACTTTTGGAGTATCAACACCATTCCAGAAATAGATTTCTGAGAAGAATTTGGCAGGCTTGCTTCAATATTAGTCCGTGTGTTTCACATCCAGCAGCATATTCGAAGAGTGTCTGGAAAGGCTTACGACTCCGTCACCATGTCTCAGACAAAACTAACCGCAACACGCATACCACGCAATATATATATATATATACGAACAGATATCATTATAGAAAATCATTCCTAGTGATGTTTATATTGCCACACGATTCTCAACCAGCTTCGGCACCACCCTTGTGGAGACAGAATCGTGAAACATCAGGCCAGCATCAGACGCCGTGCTGCACCGTGTGCTCAGCCCCCCGTGGCTCCGAGGATTATTCCATCTCAGAGGAATCTCTTGCGTAGATTATGCTTTCATACTCATGCACAACAACTCCATTGGCTCTGTGTCCCCGAAAACAAGCAAACAAGCAAAAAACACAAACATACAAAAGAACCAGTCATGACATGAGATCATTGTCTTCGATTCCACGGCAGCAAGTGCAGTCGTTATTTCCAGGCCTCTCCAGCCACAACTGCTAGCTCGACTAGTCCTCACATCACCAAATGCTTGATTGGCAGTGAGTGATGCATTTCTTATTGTTTTCCCTTGTGTTGGTCTAAGGTATGTATCTATATCTATATATATATAATATGTGGCTGACGTTTGTATCCACTTTCACACTCCACAGTGGACTTCAAAGTGTGCTTTCAAAGATCTGATCCTAGAGAGACTACATACTTTTGCCAAAACCCAGATTCACAGTGTCAAGATCCCAGAACAGGACGCTTGAGCATCATTCACAAATTTGAAGAACAAATAATAAATATAATAATTTAGGAAAAAAAAACTATTCACTGGTGGTCCAAGTTGTTGGCTTGATAAAAGAACTAGTAAGAAGTAAAAGTAGAATTGATGTAGGGCTCCACTTGCTAGTTACAATCATTTTTATAATTCACAATCATGTTTTGATGTCCTCCTTTGTTGCCTATGGAAAAGTTGGATAACCTTAATTTAAGTAGAAGAAAGCAAAAAAAACTAGTTCAATTTTATAATGAGGTTAGGAATAAATAAATAGATACGTACTAAATAATATTTTTTCTTCTTCCTTGGTTTTTCTTGTTCCAATGGAATTAAATTTGTAATATCTTGTGAATATCCAAGAAAAATATTGTACTTAATATTTTAGAAAAGTGTAGTTATATGGGTATACAATCATTTCAATTATTTAAGATACAAAATTCACTATACTTGAAGAAATTAAAAAAAAAAAAAAAAAAAAAAAAAAAACATATAGGCTATAAGAGATTATAATTCATTCAATTAAAGTTAATGTGATCATTTTATACACCCTCAAAACTTCTAGACTTAAGCTTTGAATCAAAGTTTCATTGTCTAAAATTTTTTAATTAAGTTTTTTTTTATTAATTTAAATTAACTTTTAGAATTAATTTTTAGAATTAATTATTATTATTTTATTATAATATTTAAATTTTATAAATTGAATTAAATAATTATTAAAACTTTGTTAAATTTTTTAAATTATTAATTATTAATATAAAATGTTCTAAAAATTATTATTATATATTATCTTGATTTAATTTATTTTTATAATCATTGAATAACAAATTGTTTTTAGCTTTAAAAAAAATTATATAATTTATTACAATATCATAAAAATCAAAATATTTATAAGCTACAAAAATATTTGAAATAATTTAAATTTAATTTAAATATTATATATATATATATATATATATATATATATATATATATTTATAAGCTATAATATAAATTTTCTTTTCTATTAAAAATTTATTTTATAACAATAATTTATTTTTATAATTTAAAAAAAAATTAGACTCTCTAAAATTTCTAAATTTAATCTTTTAACAACTTAATAGTTATTTTATTTTTAAAAATTTATATAAAAATTAAAGACTTTTAAAGTTTATAATTATAAAAGAAAAATAATTTTTACAGTCAACTTAGTTTTATTTAAGATAAACTTTAGATATGATTTTAGTATTATATTAAAATTTATAATAATAGACACAAATTTATATATTTTTTAAAATAGCACAAATACACAGTACTAAAAAAAATTAGTTATTAACTTTCAAAAAATAAAAAATAGATTTTTCCAAATATTAAAAAAAGAAAAGAAAATAATTAGAATTCTATATCAAAATACAAAAAGACCAATAGCAAAATTAAAGATGGCTTTAATCTTGCCTCTATGTATATAAGCTACAAATAAAGCTATGTAAAAACTTTTTAAATGCTATAAGGATCGTGGTCTAAATTTCTTAGTTGTGAATTACTCCTATAGTTGTCAATAACATAAATTTAGATAAAACTTTGAAAAAAAACATTATTCTTGTATCTCTAAAAATAAAAATAAAAAAAGATAGATAAGAAGTAGATACAGACTAGAAAAGAACTAGAAAGCCTATTAACAATAATAAAGAATGTAAATAATCCTAAAATAAGTATATAATATAAAAAAGGTATTAGCAAGATTGAAGATGGCCTCAATCTTACTTCTATATATACTAGCTACTAAGAATGTCTTATCATAGCTTCTTAAGATCCACATATATTGTGGTCCAATTATTAAGTTATATGTTGCTTCTAAAATGACTTTTTAAAAGTTAGAAACTATCAAAATAAGACTTAATATCTATGTGGCATATCTATAAGAGTCCAAATATATATATTATGTCCAAGAATGTATTTCAAAGTTTCTTAAGAAAGATATTATTTGCCTAATATATCCTATCTACTTTTATTTACTTTTCTTTATTTAAATAATATAAAAATTTATTATAATAGTATGTTTTAAAAAATATTAAATTTTTGTAAAAATATTTTATAACCATATTTATATCTAAAAATATTTTTTTTATTTAATTCAACCTATGAAGTTTTTAATGTTTCATAACAAAGATAATATATATTTGATAAGTTTTTACTTAATTTTATTGTTATTTTAGAATATATAAGTAAATATATTTGCTTATACTTATTTATATTTACTTAATTAGTATAGGTATTTGTTATATTATGTATAATTTTAGATATAACTTCCATAATTTATAGTTCATATTTTTTGTAAATTGATAAAATTCAAAATCTATTGAATAATATTTACAACTTATTATTCTTTATATTCTATATATAGATTATTGATATATCTTTTGAACCATCAAAAAGACTACCAATTTTTTTTATTATTTTTGAGATCTTTAAAATTAGCTTTCAAATAAAGTAAATCAAAATATTATCAAACATAAAACTTACCTCCAATTGAAGTATCAAAGATTAAAATGGTCTTCTAAACTTTTGGTACCTTGTGCAAGATTAATACCATCTTTAAGACATTTAAAACTTTTAATACCATCTTAAAACACTAGTAGTGTTTAAGATAATTAAATTTTATTTTAGAAATACTTTGAATCTAAAATTACTTCTACTTCAAACTATTGAATTTTATTTTATCTTAGTTGTAGCTGGTGGTAATTTCTTCTTTATCTTCATATTGATTCATTCATAAAGTAAAACAAATATATAGAAGATATGATAAAACTTTATTAACTTCAATAGAATTTGTATGAAGTTAAACCACAAATACATAGAAGACATGTTAAACCTTCAATAATCTAACTTATTACAAAAAAATTGTAACAAAAAAAAAAAAAAAAAAAAAAAAAATCTTATTACCAACTTTGAATACAAATTGTGCTTTTCAAAATGTATGTGTATTGACTTGCTCCTATTTTTACATTCTTTGTAGTAGCTTCTTTATTGTTTGATGTTCAATTAGCTAAATATTTTGTAGTTAAATTATCAACTTTCAAAAAACTTAAAAGATCAAATTATAAGAAATAACTATAAAATTAGAAAAAATAGTGTTTATTGAACAAAAGAATGTATAATTTTTTAAATATTTATTTGTCGATGATTAAAAAAAGTTTTTAAACTTATTTTTTTGATAATTGATAATATTTTTTGAAAAAAAATATTACTTTAATTACATAATTTCTTTATACATTATTTTAGAGATAATTTTCTTAAAACGATTTAATATTAAAGTTTAATATTTGAAAAAAAAATTAAAAAGATTAATACAAATAAGAATCTTCAATTATATTAAATATCATTTTAAAATCTACAATATCAATTGATGAGATTAAAAAATAATTTGGTTATTTCTTACCAATAATAATATTACACTAGATACAAAATATATCATTTAAATCAGATAGTTTATTAATAAATAAAATTAAATCTTAAAAAACTAAATTATATTCTTAAAAATAAAATCTATTAAAGTAAATGAATGTGATTGTTCTAAAATACATCAATGTTGAGGAAGTCCATACTATTGTGTAGCCTATGTTCTAGAGCACATATTATTAAATTATATTAATATGCTTAAAAATAAATAAAAAAGAAATGTAATAAAAGTATACTGAAATTCAAGTTAAATATATGAATTCCAAAACTTTCAATGAAAAAATAGTGATACATAAACCAAGATATTATAAATTTATTTAAATTGATTCAAAGCACAATACATTGCTACATTTGAATTACTTTAGAAAAATTTGTATAAGTAATCAATAAGTTATAAGATAAAAATACTATTGCAAAGCATATTTCTTTAAGATTGTCATATTATTTTGAGCTAAAAGTATTACAATAAATAATGATTTGATATTTTTATCCGAATCAAATCAATAAATTATTACTATTTTGTATATAAAACTATATATATATATATATATATATATATTATCAATTCAACAAGAAACACACACACATACATATATATATATATATATATATATATATATCAATTAGTAGAATATGAAATTTTTTAATTTTTAATTTTTGTTTTTGAAAATCTGCTATCTCAAATATATCACATGCAAAATGTACTTATGAACTTTGTTTTATTAAAAACAGCTTCTTTTCTAATTATCTGTTTTAGTAATATATTAGTTCATTTAAAGATTTCAATAGACCATCAAAATCATTTAAAATAACAGGTAAATAAATTTTCAAAGTACTTTTTATAAATAATAAAATGAAGTAAATTTAACAACTATATGTGAAGATTCTAGGGATGTTATGATAGATAGTGCTATTAAGTCAAATATAAATTAATACATACATATATAACTCGGGTTTTTTAAAGATTTTTTTTCTCTCTTTGTCCAACTTTTCAAAAAAGACACAAAGAATCTAATGCATCATATTTTTGTCTTTTAAAAAATCAAATTTTTTTTTATAAACATTTATGTTTTAAATGTTTTAGCCCAATCAATCCTCTAAATTTTACCCTGATATAATTAACACCTCCAGAGTAATATACGTGTATTGGGAAAAAATAAATTTATTACTGAAAATTTAAATATTCAAAATATTGGCATAATTATGATTAAAAAAAATAGTAACTACAGATTGCTTGAAGATGTGATAATATCAGTTGGGTGTGCAAAGCTCAAAGTGGTTATTTAGTATATATCAGATTTCGCCACAATTGGAACAACACAACACAGATTATCTTTGATGGGAAGCCTTACTCAGTCACCACTGTACACAACATGTTTACAAAAAGCCAACCTTGCTATTATTTCACAAACATCACTTTACACCCCCTAACATTAATATTATTTTTCGGAGAACATTATTCCACCAATCACACACTTTTGAATCAACAAAATCACCATGAACAGAAACCCCACACTATCTGCCAAGTCAGTTCGACAACTTTTATTATCTGATCTCGGATTTATTATTTATTATTATACAACTTGTTTGACAGGCGTTTCAAAAAAGAGCGTTAAAAAAAGGGCCAAATTCAGCCCCCGGCGTGCCATCACGTCTCTGTGAACCACCGACTCCGAATTCAAAATGTCAAGTGCATGGCAACACACTGTGCACAGTGAGAAAAATTTCAAAATCCTCGGATGCACCGCGGGTGGGGAGCAACATCCAAGACGGCGCGGCGCTGCCTTTGCACAGGGATGGGAGAAAACCAGCGAGCGAGCGACCAAGCAAGCAATTTGAGTAGCGGCTTTGTCTGTTTCCTCGAGGTTGTGCAAGTTGCAAGTGAACCCACAATCAATGGCATGCATCTGGGGTTGCAGATCTTTGATGCGGGATCGGCGAGAAGAGAGCCACATCGCTGGTGATGTGGATATCGTCGTCTCGCTGCCGATGTGGCTATTATGAGCTGATTCCTTGCTTTTGAAGAACAACGGCAGTGAGACGAGAAATTCTGGTTCTGCAGGTTCATTTACTCGCGCTATGGGAGGAGAAGGAGAGGGACGAGAGTAGGCCGACAAGCAGCGCACCGTGGAGAGGTATAGTGGAGGGAAATTTGAAGAGCGAAAGAGGAGTAACAGACGTAAACCTGGCGCCGTGTGCGCGAAGAAAAGCCTAAATATAGCTAAAACCTTCGGAGCATCATTAAGAACAGCCGCGCCATGGCTGCTTGATTCTGGGCTGGTATGAGGACCATCCAGCCGTCTAGCTCCCAGTCGACGCGATGCGATGTATCGCGGCTCGCAGGGCAGATTCCATGAGGTGCCCTTCTTAGAGCGGGGTGGGTCCCGGATTGCGGCCCGGATAAGGGGAGCCAAGGGTCGTATGTGGCTGAGGGAGATTGGTGCAGCGGCTGAGCACAAGGCAGCGGCATCAGCGCTGCAAGCAACCTACGGAGGAACAGCAGCCACTAGGTTTAGCCTGCCGCCTGGCCAGCCCCATGTGCCGCCCGGCGTGGCAGGAGATTGGCAGCCTGGACGAGAATGCCACTGGTGGAGTTGTTGGCTCTTGTGCTGCTCCATCGCGCCGTCGGAAAGGTTTGTGCCGCAAATCGCCGACTCATGGGTGCTTAAGTCCAGTATTCAGGGTTTTTGTTTACGGGGTAATGATGGAGTGGCTTTGTTTGTGGACGAGAATTCATAGTTAGGGTCCTTTTTTTAATACTAGTCGAGGTCTGGTTTCTTGTAGGCAAGGTATGGATTGGTGGGGTTTCTGAAGAGTTGGATTTGACGGAGATCAAGGCAAAGTGGTGCTGACCTGAAAAATGATCAGAAAAATGGGTTCTTTTGTCTGTTGTGTGATCGTTCGAAAGGAGAGATTCCTTTGTGAGAGTTGGGATGAAAGGGGCAAGGTCCTGTGCTGGTGTGGATGTGACAGCGGAGGTGGTTCTCATGGTTGCAGTGGCGGTTGTTGACTGATTGATTGCAGAGATGAATCGGTGATGGGGAGGTTGCACCGACAGACACACGGAAAGAGAGTGTCGTAGGTGGTCTTGTGGTTTCGGACCAGACCTCTCACGTGTTGTCGAAGATTTATTGGTCTGTTACAGTAGCAAGGAGGGAAGTAGCTTCTGAAAGAAACATAATTCAGGGATACATTTAATGTAAGCTATGTCTGTAATTGTAGCGCATGACTATCTTCCTTCGCGTGGAAGCTTTTTATTTCTTCTAATTTTTTTGTGTGTGTTGTGCGTGAACGAAACGCATGTGTTAAAATTCAACCTGCAGCGTTAGAGCTGTTCCATTTTCTCAGGCAGTGGTGTGGTTCTTAAAATTTATTTGTTTATATCTATTGCAGTTGGGAAATACACACAAGGGAGAAATAGCTACCTTCCAGTCTCGTCGCACAGGGGACGCCAAGGCATCTCCGATCAGACCATCGAGGTTCGGTGTGAATCTCAAGCAGGACATTACCATGGGTACCGCGCAGGTAGAGGTTATGAGTCCGGTCTGTACATTTGTCAGACCAAAGAGATTTGTTAAGTCACAGAGCTTCAACCATCGGAAGACGCTCTCTCAGCCCGAGACACAACTCGCGGAGATTGTGGAGAGCCTCTCCAAGTTCACTTTCGCGGTGTCCTCCGTGGATTCCGTGAAGGAGGAGCCCGACGATGAAAAGGAGTACATGGCTAAGTGCGAGTGCTGTGGACTGGCGGAGGAGTGCACACCGGGATACGTTGCTCGCATGAAGGCCATGTACTGTGGCCGTCTACTCTGTGGCCTCTGTGGTGAAGCTGTCAAGGAGGAGAGGATGCGCATGGGTCCGGTGACTTCCATGGAAGACGCCCTTAGTGCCCATATGAAAATTTGCTTCAAATTCAACACCTTCACACGTCAAGACCCCGCAGCAGATTTGGCCCAAGCTATGCGGCAGATTCTAAGAAAGAGCATCGAGCTTGGGACGCCTCCCAAGACCAAGGGATTGCTATGGCAGCGCGCCGGGCTTTCTCGCAGTGAGACATTCAGCAACCGTGGGCACCGGAAGAGTTTGCCATGATTTGTCGTGGATGCCTCTGATGAGGCTTACAATTTACATTGTTTTTCAAGCTTTGGCATTTGCCTCAAATTAGGATACGACCTACCTCAGAATACCGATAGTGAAAATCTATCATTGGAGCCTTTCTTTCGTTTTTATGAAGGTGCCTGAAGTGTCAAAGTGCTTGAAGCCAAGCTCGGATTGTCAAGCAAAAGGCAAGTGGCGGGCAGTGAATTCAAATGGTTTGGCATTTTGAAATGCCAATTAGAACAGCCAACATTTGAAAGAAGGCGCAAAAACATCTGAAAGGTTCCTGACTTCACCTAGTCCTCGTAGAATTAATTTACCGAGGATGGATTGCAAGGTCTTTCCGCAAGATTTCTTGCCATAGTTAGGTGTCTTCCTATTCACGAAGTACCTAACAACCACTAACAGTCGTCTGTTAGTCGCATCAAATTAGCTCATTTCAACTTGGGTCTCCTTCTCCGGACCTTAACTGGTTTAAAAGCCTGTTTGCAGAATGCCAGAGGTGCAACAAGGTTTCCATCACACCTACGCGTCGAATGTCGCCAGGAATTGAGACTAACTTTGAGGCTCACACAGGTTGTGGCCCTCTTTGTTTGTCCTGCGCAATGCCCTGGTCTTTGTAGTTTAGTCAAGTGCTGGCAGTAGTTCCTCCTCTCAGCTTGACACATGTAGTCTAAAATTGGATGACTGTTCTGTTGAAGCTTTTAATTGGCTTGGGGTTTAGTCGAAAACATTCAACAGTCAGTAAAAAAAAGGTTTGATTTTACCTTAGTTGAATCCCCGTGGAGAGTCCGTTAAGTTTAGGATGCTCGCTCCAGTTACGTTGAATTAATTATCCCTGCTCCTTCCCTCCCAGATATAAATCTCTTGCGATCGATCAGATATCGATTGTTCGTGAAGTTTGTTTATTACGTAGGCCGTGAATCATCATCAATAAATGCATTTATTATGTATAGAACTTGGTTCGATTTTCTTAGTCTCATGTGTTGAGTAATTTCGACTTTTTCTTTTTAGTTATCAGGGTTGCATATGTGAGCTCTGCTCCCAAGTTGCAACGTAGCCTTGTGAATTCAAGCAGTGTATTCATACTTTGAGTTCTATGTTGTGTGGAGATCTCTCTTTGACCCTTTCTGTGAACATAAATCTCAAAATCTTAAACCTAAAACACACAGTACTCTAAGGGTGATTTATGCAATGTGAAGATGCCCAGCCTAGGGCTACATCGGATCTGTCCCAAGCTATTTTACCACGGCAGCCTATAATTCTATTCGCAGTAAGTGCAAGATGGACCATATTCAAGTTTTCTACAATTAAATTTAGTAGTTCAGTGTTAAGTAAAGCTTGCAATGAGTGAAACTGGAGAAACGCCCAAGTAATGAAATTGGTAAATCTTTTGCGTATATTGTCCACGCTGCACTTCTGAAGAAAACCAGGGCAATCACCAGCTTTGCGCACGATACCCGCCTGGAATGGCCTCCCTGGCAGAAACCCTCTCAAATCGTAATGGAAGCCTCAAATTTTGGGGGTTTATATGAGCACCAACGGTGGGCATGCTTAGTATTCACACTTGTACATTAATGCGAGAACTAATCAACGTTACTTTGCCGCAAACCCTGAGTCCACCTCTTTTCTGTTTTTGTCCTACCTAATAACTCCTCACCTACATGATATCACTCCATCCACACCGCACATTCGAGACAACCTCGAAGCTACCACTCATATCTCACGCAGACTTGCATCCAAATTGCAAACCATGTGCATCCTCACGTCAACTTCCTTCAAAACAAACAAAACAAGTACAAGTTCGAAAAAGGTATCTCTTCGATTGATACTGCAAGTTCACAGGCTCGCCATGCACCTAACAAGGTAGTATTCAGAAGATGCAAATGTTGGATAATTCGGACTTATTTATGCGAACCCACCTCAAATGAGAGTCTGCCCTCTTGAACGAGTCACAGCAGTCCTCACAGCAATCTATCTCTACATGCATACGATGTGTGTCATGCAGCTGGTAAAGCTCACTTGGTCCGACAGAATCATATATATATATATATATATATATGTGTATTTATTAGTCTTCATCCTATACTTTCACCTTATAGTTTTATTATAACATAATAATGTGTTGTTAGAAGCCTATACATATAAGTTGGTTATATGGATCATCTTTAGAATCCTAAGCTTAATTTTATTAGTTTTTACTTTTATTCTTCATAGTTCTATGTATTTTGGTATCATTTTATACCATTATAATTAATTTATTTGGCATTAAAACTTGTAAATACACCACATACTCTATTTCTAAATTAGAAGCATCTTATAAAAAATATGTGCTTTAAATTGGAATAGATTATATCTCATAATTTCTTTACTTTTTTTTTATGCAAGTTTTTAATTTATTTCAAAGTACATACAAGTATTGTGGATATCCACATTTATTATTATATTTATTTGGATAAGTAACATAAGAAGAATTAGGTAAGAATAAATAAAATTAGATCAAATTGATAATATCTTATTGGCTTTCCAAGTATTTGTAAGTGATTGGTAGGTTGAAGACTAAGTGAGCGACATACAACATATGTTCACCACTTGAATTACAAGTTGGCAATATAGCGCATATGTCAAAACCTTGCCCTACAAGTTAAATACAAGTTATCTAAGTTGGACACATATTGTGTGGCCTATAGGACATTGCCACATAGATCCTTATTTAGATAGTATATGTAGAGGCAAAAGTGAGGTTTTTATCACTCTTGTGAACATCTTTCTTGATACTACTCTAGTTTCAAGCTTCTTTAATCTTCTTATTTTTGACAATAGCCATTTTAATTTCTTCTTGAATGTATATACTTTCTTATTTTCTTTTGTATATCTTGTTTTGTTTCGTTACATTCTTAAAGTTTTTTTCTTTAGCAACTAGATCCACCTTTATTATAAAAAGAAATCTAATTATCTTTCTTAGAAAATTCTTAGAATAAATAGTGTTTGTTGTAATGTATATGCATGCCAAATTGTTTGCCACATGACTTAATATTGCCACTATTTTACTCTCTTCTATGCATTGTTTTAAGTAGGAAATTTATAGAATATCATAAAAACGGTTTCAACCTAAAAACTTTACTTTACATTAATTCAATGTTTAATTTATATATAAAAAATAAAGTTATAATTGAGATTTTATTTTTTTATTTTTTTATTCACAACCTTACTAAAACCATCAACTCCATCATTACTAGTTTCAATTTTGGCATTTATTTTGTACAATTGCAACATCTTTTATTATAAATTTACTAAGATGATAGTTTAAAACCTTAAGAAATTACAACAAATATTATTTAAAACTAGCAGAGACAAAATAATAGACATAAAAGTCCTCTATACCAAACATAAAAATACATACTTTAGGACTATTCAAATAAAATGCAATGAGTTAAGTTTTTGACAAAAAAACAATTGGATAGAAGAAGAAGAAGAAGAAGAAAAATATATATATATATACATATATTTGGTATAAAATCCTAAATTATGACAAAATATGTTAAAAATATGTATACAATGAAGAACAAAAAACAAAAAAAATACGAAAACAATTCAAAAATTCTATGCTAGTCGGGTGCAAGACAGATTCGACACCATGCGAACACCACGAAGCACATCCAGTAGCAGCAGCACCAGGAGGATGGCTTCTGATTTTGAAGGAGAGAGCTGCTGCATGAATCATCGACTCCGAGCATGGACATTCGCGCTTGCTTGCTTGCCTGCCCTGGTTTCGGAGCAGGAGTAACTTCGTGTCGGAGGCGGAGAAGGAGTGAATTCAGGAGGAGGAGGGAGGAGGGAGGAGGAAATCGATGCTTGATGACGCCATCGATGCCGCCGCCGCACCCCCGCACACCGCATCCCAGCCGCCCCCACCCCAGCAAACCACACAACGTGATTTAAAATGAATGAGATGTCCTTTGTCCGGCGTAGGCGCAGCGATGTGTGACATTAGAGTCAACTTTCTCGCCTGATTCTATCGTATATGCTGATCTCAGTTGGACAAACCCAATTTGGACCGCATCGTTCTCATCGAAAGCCTGCCGTGCCAGGCTAGGGTCCTATTTCCCTTGTGCCCCTGCTAATGCGGGACTTTGTGCAGTCCTGGACAGTTTGCCCCAGGTTCTGTTGAAGTTTGATAATCTCTGGGTATGAGCAAATGATATTTTGCGCTGGGGTGCTTCCTGTGTATATCTGAGGGTATTGGAACTTTTGGCGGTGGTGTCTGCTTCGAGAAGATTTGAGCCATCAAGCTGTATTGTGATCAGCACTAGGGCTAAGTCACAACGTCGTGGTACTATCTGACTCACCAGTGAACTGATCCATCAGTGAGATCCTGCTCTTACTGTTCTCGTCACCTTAGATGGTTGTCAGATTCCACGACCCAGCTCACGAATTGATGCAATTTTGTTGGTGGGAAGTGCTTGCAGGAAGATGAGTTTTGACGCGGGCTCCCTTGATTCGTAGACACGTTGATTGATGAAGTTCCATTCTAGCGATTCACTTCAGGATGGGGACGGACGCAGGGCGCCCAAGCTCGACTCCAATAGTGCTGTCTAGTTCGAGTTCGAAAGAAAATTTGACACAGCCACTCATTCCGGTAAGGAGATCCAGCCCTGGCTACAATACCGCTCAGTGAAACTCCCGAGTCAATTGTTGGTGGTAGCAATCTTGTTCACTATGCCATGCGGCTCTGTATTCTGCATATTCTGCAGCAGGCATTTTGGAAGCATGTAATCCTGTCCCGAGGACGGGAACTTAAACCTGCTGGTAGGGTGTGTGGTGAGAGCAGCAAAGCAACCCATTCTACTGCTCGTTGTTCCGATCGCAACTCCTTTTGCTTCTTCACGCTCCACATCTTACTTTGACCTAAAATGTAAGAATTCATTCAATTCTCTCCATAATCTGTTTGATGTGTGGGTGGAGAAGCCAAGCGAAGCGAAAACTGGAGCCTACGACTCAGAGAATGTTTACGAGGGGTGTATTACGGACGTTTCCAGAGATGGCACGGTGGATTACCGAGGTCGGCCTGTTGATAAATCTAAATACGGCGGCTGGAAAGGAGTGTCGTTTATCATGGGTGAGCAAGCTAAGGCTTTAACTCCACCATGGTTCTGGTGAGGATATTCTCCCTATTTGTGAAGGAAAGACGCCCCTTTTCTTGAGACTTAAATTTGATATCAGGGTGTTGGGATCTGTGATAGGGGCGGTGCTTCTTGAGAGAATGGCGTACTATGGAATCGCTTCCAACCTCATCTCCTACCTCACAATCAAGCTTCACGAAGGGAGTGCTGATGCCGTCACCAACGTGTGGGTTTGGGGCGGTGTTACTTGGCTTCTTCCTCTGCTAGGAGGCTTCATTGCCGATTCGTTCTTGGGTCGATACTGGACGATCACCTACTCTTTGATCATCTACGTTGCGGTACGTTCTTCAATAACCCACTGAAAAAGTCAGTTTCAGCTCTTGTTTAGAATCTGTACTCGCGCAATCTCATGCTTTCTATGAGGTGATGCCTCTCAGAATTTATGGATCACACTACGCCCATTTTCTCTCATTCAGACGCTTTTAGTTTGTGGTTGTGCAATCGCTTTTGTTGCAATGGCTGTAGATTTCGCATGGTTGTGGACATTGTTGATGTTTCCGACACGTTCTGGGAAAAAGAAACAACTCGGTACTTAGATTTTACGGGGTGGGCTAGCAAATAGCGAGTATTTTGCAGCTCCTTTTTTGCTGGTCAGGAAACTTTCCCAGTTAACCAATCTTTTGGGCTGCACGAAGCGTGGATTTAGGTTTTATTCGGACTGCTGCCGATATTTCTGTTAACTTTGAGGTGCTCAGCGGCATTGTGTTTTACATTCCAGGGTATGGTGTTCTTGACACTAACTGTATCGGTTCCTGGCCTTAGGCCACCGGAATGTCCCACAAACATCGACTGTCAGTCTGCTTCCAAATTACAAGTTCGAGTATTTTATTGCGCCTTGTACGTTGTTGCAATCGGAGTGGGCGGCGTCAAGCCCTGTGCCTCAACTCTAGGTGGGAAGAAAAAGCTCTTAATCTTTCACGAAATCATTGAATATCCACATTCGCTTTCAGTGCAAAGGAAATTGCTATAATCTTTTCTGGCATTGTGTGAATCAAGTAACAGCGATGCCCAACATGCTCAGTCCGTCTATTGCTTCAAACTATTAACCTGTAATTCTTATCGCTAGGTGCTGATCAGTTTGAGGAGGAAGACGAGAAGGAGCGGTTCATGAAATACTCGTATTTCAATTACTGGTGGTTCGTAGTCACCAGCGGTTCTTTTTTTGCACTCACAGTTCTGGTCTACATAGAAGATCACGTAGGGTTCGGATGGGGCTATGGCATTCCCACGGTCGGGTTGGCCCTTGCCTTGGCAGTATTTCTCCTCGGCACACGTAGCTACCGCTACAAACACCCTAAGGGCAGTCCCCTAACACAAGTGGCATGTGTTTTAGTGGCCGCAATGCGAAATCGCAATGTCCAAGTTCCCACTGATAGTGCTCTCCTTCACGAGGTGGGCCACCCTCTGAAGCGAAACCTTCATCACACTCATCATCTCAGGTACAATCATCAGATGGTCTTTCTAATTACTCTTTCACGAAGTAGCTCCAGGCAGCAGCACTTATGTGCACTATATTTACTCATGCAACTTGGACTAAATATATTTAATTGTAAAACGTCAAGTGTATTTTGTCTTTTAATTTGACGCGATTGGTGTGTCAGTCGATTGAAACATTGATTCATAGGTACTCATCCTTGAGGTTTTCTTAGGCTAGTTTTACTACAGAAGAATAATCCTGGGTTGTGGAATGGAGAGTTTGTGCTTTCACCTCAATACTTATAACAGCTATTTGACTGCAGATTCCTTGACAAGGCAGCTGTACAAGTGAGAGAAAAAGACAATGAAACAGCACCCTTGGTGACATATAATTGGAGGTTGTGCACAGTAACGCAAGTGGAGGAGGTAAAGCTTCTCGCTCTTGTGATGCCCGTTTGGTTCACAACACTGGTCTTTATGGTTACTGTGCAGCAGATGTCCACCTTCTTTCTGCGCCAAGGCATTAGCATGGATCAAAGCGTGGGGCCAAACTTCAAGATTCCTCCAGCATCGCTAGACCTCGCTACTGTTAGCACTGCCTTGATGCTAATTCCGATCTATGACAGTTACGTTATCCCCTACGCTCGAAGATTTACAGGCAACGAACGCGGCTTCTCGTTGCTGCAAAGGCTGGGAATTGGTCTTGTGATTACCGTCTTAGGCATGGCAGTTGCAGCGCTTGTAGAGATGCGAAGGTTGGAGATTATCAGAGAGAACGGCTTGGAGCACAGCATCTCACCGGTCCCCATGAGTGTGTTATGGCTCATCCCCCAGTACAGTATCATGGGCATAGCACAGGTAATAATACCACCCTCACTGCCTTGAACCCACCCAATTTTGACATCCCAGATTTTTCTTATTCTTTCATTAAGCTCGGCTTGTGCCATTTCATTGAACCCTTTGGGTAAAATCCGGTGCAGGTGTTCGCGTACATGGGCCAGTTGGAGTTCTTCTACGACCAAGTCCCAGACGACATGCAAACCATTGGAACAGCCCTCTTCACCTCCAACACTGGCGTTGCCCATTTCGTTTGCACGTCCATCTTGCAGCTCGTCATTAGCGTGACAGGCAGAGATGGCAGGCAGCCTTGGATTGTAGACAACATCAACGACTCTCGCTTGGATAATTACTACTGGATGCTGGCACTGTTGAGCGCTGTCAACTTTGTTGCCTTCTTTCAGGTCTCCCGCGGCTACACATACAAGTCCACCATGCAACGTGAAGTGAAGTATCATGTTGAGGTCCCTGCGGAGCCTCCTCTGATCGACTGATGCAACTCCATCGCTCATTCTAGACCTCTCAAGGAGAACCAGTTTCTGCATCCTGGTGAGCATAAGCCTGAGATTCTGGTGAGCACAAGCCCAGTTCTCTCTTCGAACCATGAGTCTGTGGAGACACAATCACATGCATGTGGGAAAATGGTTTGTTCCCCATTTTTTTAAACATGGTGGTAAACCAACAATCAATTTTTGGTAGGTTCTTTATGTGAAAATTATTTGATGGTTCTTTTGATTTGCTTTTGTCCAAATTGTGTTCATTAGTTTATTGTAATTATTTTAAGTTGTCCCAGTCTTAAATGCTGAAGAACATGATATTTTTTGAAAACTTAATCGTGCTTTTCTGTATATGCTAAATTGAAGTCTGTAATACTGTGTATTTTGAAAATTAGGCTGTAAGCACCAAAGGCACTACAAATAGCATTATATATATATATATATATATATATATATATATGTGCATACATACATATATACACACAAACAGTAAAACCTTGCTTTTATATTCATGTATGTATGTTTTTATTTTTATTTAAAGATATGTATATGTGTGTATGTTTTTTAAAATTTTATAATTATTCATATTGTTGGATTTTACAAGATATATATTGAACAAAAGATTCTTTATATGAGATTCAAAAAATAATCTTTATCATCCATATTTTTTTCATCATCTATATAATCTAAACTTGGTTTTATAAAATAAAACAAGTCATGCATGCCTATTTTTGTAGAGTACTTCTATAAACTATACCTTGAGGTAAAGACTCCAATAAATCAATATCTCAGTGTACATTTGATGTATAGCCATCAATATTTTTTTTATTATGTTTAATATTGTATTTTTGTAAATATGACAATTACCTAAAACATATTGTGAAATTGGTCTAGAATGGTTGCCTACACAATCTTTTGAAATACTTGTATGATTGATAGAATCACATAATTTGAATATAAATAAATTTATGTTCTATATAAAAATATATAACTAAAAATAAAAATATAATAATAAGGTAAATATTTTAATATTTAAAATATACACACTTATATTTATTCAAAACATATCTATTCGAATAAATATATTTTTTAGAATAATAATATATAACTAAAAAAATTATATATAAATACAAATCAATCACATTTTAATCAATAAATAGATTTATGTATGATGGTACATTTTTCTTTCGTTTGGTAGAAATTAGGATTTAAAATTAATCAATATGCCTATTTATTCTTACATTCTAATATTTTTATATATATTAATTTAATGTTTTAATACTATACATTATATATAATAGATATTATAATATTATAATAAATTTGAATAGTTTTTTTTAACATACTATTAAAAATATAAGTGATAATTATTTTTTATCAATTGATAAAAAAGAATTATATTGTTCACTAATTGTTAGAGACATAGTCCTTAGAACTTTCTAGAGGCAAGTTTCTAGAACCTTCTAGAAGCAAGTCTCTAGAACCTTCTAGAAGCTTCCTAGTTAGTAGAAGTTGCTTGAGAAGCTTCCTAAATAGGAGTATATATTGGAATCGAGGTTCAAGAGTTCTTCAATCTCGACAACACATCTCTTAGAGCTCTAGCTCACCTCTCTGGTGTTGTTCTTGTATTCATCTGATTAATCTAGTTCTTGCTAGTTCTTCTTGAACTTCTTGTTAGATCTCGAGTTTGTATTTCTGTGTCCGTGACAGTTTGTCGAGATTGCACTCACCTCAGTTATCAGAGCTAGTTTCTTCCTCGTTAGAGTGTGGATTACCCCTCTGCTTGGAAGTGTACTAGCATTTTAGAGGTTGCGAAGTACCCTCCTCTAAACCAATATTGTCTTCTTGTAGAGTCATTTCTGTCCTTCTCTTAGAATAGCCAGGGGCCAAAATATTAGTATGACAAAAAGTTTGGAGTCCAAGTTGTATGCTATCATGAATGCCCTCGCTACGTTATCGCAAAGAACTGTAGAGATTGAAGGAATCATGGCAAGGCTTTATAACGATGGAGCATCTGGGATGGCACAATCTAGGTTGCACCAGCCTCAAACTTCTGCACTTGGAGAAGCAACTTTGCCTCAAGTTCGACAAGCACTGCTGGTTCTACAACATAAGGAGCCCCGAGTTAGCCTTTCGAACAAGTTTGATGGTACGTGTTCCAAGTTTCGAGGATTCGTCAACCAAATGAAGTTGATAACAGTTTTACAACCCAAACGCTATCCAACGGAGGAGTCACGTGTTGGGCTTGTTGGAACCTTACTTATAGGGCAAGCTATATCATGGTTTGCTCCTCTGATTGAGAAACGATCATCCATACTAAACAACTTTGAAACCTTTTTGGAGGCGTTTGCGGAAGCATTTGGTGAACACGACAAGGTTCGATGGGCTACAACAAAGATCCGGTCACTATGACAAGGGATGCGCTCTACATCAGTCTATGCATCGGACTTCAGGCAATTAGCATGCGACATCAATTGGAACAAAGAAGCGTTGATGAGTCAATTCTATTGGGATTTAAGGGGTGATGTGAAGGATTTGCTGTTAACTCTTCCTGATCCACAAACGCTCAACGAAGCTATTAGCCAAGCTGTGAAGTGCAATAACCGCCTATTCTAGCGCCGCCAAGATCAACATTCAAGACAACATACAGTTCGTCACGTCCCAACTATGTCGACAAGCAGCGTGAATTCACATTCAGAGATAGAAGACATGTAAATTGATGCGGTACGTCTCAAATCCCTTACTCTAGAAAAAAAAAATGGCGTATGGAGGAAGGTCTATGCTTGTATTGTTGTGAAGAAGGCCACAAAGTTAGAAACTGCCCCAAGAAGCAAAATCGACGTATTGTCAGGACTAGGGGCGCGTTTGTTCAGGAAAACAAGGATGCCCAGCCACAATAGGAACTGTGCAGCTGGACAGTGAAATATCGCAACAACAACCAAGTTCCTTTCTTTCCGCTCAACCTGCCCTTTGCTTTACAATTCCTTTGCTTATTGGCCTTCAAAAACTAAGAACCTTAGCATTATTAGATTCATGAGCATCTGCTTGTTTCTTAGACGAAGAATTTGCGAAGCGTCATAAGATCCCTTTAGTACAAAAATCCAAACTTGTTCACGTGGAGGTCATAGATTGACGACCTTTATTGTCTAGTAGTGTCACCCATGAATCAGAACCTATAGAAGTGACGTTTAAGGGCCATAGTAGTCATATTATTTTCAATATTATTAGAACCCCATCAAATCCTGTTATTCTTGGTCTTTCCTGGTTGGAAAAGCATAATCCATCCATAGATTGGAAGTTGCGGAAGATGACCTTTCCTACAAAACCACCAAAGAGCAAGCCTAGTAGAAAACTCCGAATAGAGAAATCCTTATTCATTGGAGCAAGAGCGTTTATAAGATCATCCAAGGAAGGCAGAGTGTTTGTCATTTATGTGGCTCCAACTACCGGGGAGAAGATCTCGACAGCAAGTATACCTGAGCAATATAAGGATTTTAAAGACATGTTTCAAAAGAAGAATGCCGACATGCTACAGGAACACTGACCATATGATTGCGCCATAGACTTGGAGGAAGGAGCACAACCGCCTTTTGGTCCAATCTACAATCTATCGCAAACGGAGTTGGCGGAGTTGCAGAAGTATATCGACGAGAATCTAGCCAAGAACTTCATCCATCATTCAAAATCGTCAGCTGGAGCACTCATCTTATTTGTGAAGAAGAAAGATGACTTGTTGCGAATGTGCGTGGACTATCCAGGCCTCAACAAGGTAACAAAGAAGAATCGTTACCCGTTACCCTTCATTTCTGGTCTCTTAGAACAACTTGGACGTGCAAGGATCTTTACAAAAATTGATCTAAGACGAGCTTACAACCTCGTACGATTCAAGGAAGGAGATGAGTGGAAGACAGCGTTCCGTACAAGGTATGGCCATTTTGAGTATAATGTCATGCTCTTTAGTCTTACCAATGCTCCAGCGGTCTTTTAACATATGATGAATGACATTTTTTGAGAGCACCTTGACGATTTTGTTGTCATCTATTTGGATGATATTCTGATATTCTCCAAAAATGAGGAAGAACATGAAAAGCACGTTCATTTGGTCTTGGAGAAACTATGCGAGCAAGGACTATATGCCAAGTTGGAAAAGTGTTTATTTCACCAAATAGAGAGTTTTTGGGGTTCGTTGCGACTACGGAAGGCTTGAAGATGGACCCCAAGAAGGTGGAAGCAATCGTATCTTGAGAGGTTTCGAAGACGGTTAGAGACGTATAATGCTTTCTTGATTTTGTCAACTTCTATCAGATCTTCATCAAGAATTACTCTTAAGTTGTTGCTCCTCTCACTCGATTGTCATGCAAAGATAAGCTAGAATAGAGAGCTCCAGCGAAGAAGGCGTTTCAAGACTTGAAGACGACATTTACTACGGCTCCAATCTTCGTACATCCACACTTTACAAAGGCCTTTTATTTAGAAACTGATGCTTCGGATTTTGCTTTGGGAGCTGTACTTTTACAAATGGAAGAAGACAAGAAGCTCCATCCGATTGCATTCTATTCTCGAAAGTTCTCTATTGCTGAAATCAATTATAAGATCTATGATAAGGAACTTCTTGCTATAGTGGATTCTTTCCAAGAATGGCATCACTTTCTTGAAGGATCTGTACACCCAGTGATCGTATACACACATCATAAGAATTTGGAGTATTTCATGTCGGCTCGAGTTCTAAATCAACGTCAAGCTTGGTGGAGTATGTCGATATCTAGGTTTGATTTTGTTATCACTTATCGACCTCAAAAGTAGCAAGGACTATCTGATGCCTCATCGAGGAGATCGTATCTTATACCAAAGGCTAGAGAAGCAGTGTTTGATCAACAATGTACGACGTTGTTGAAGTCAGAGCAATTTCGGCTTCACGCTACTATTGTACCAATTGATGCTGACTTCCTGAATCAGGTACATGCCGTGACCATTGAAGATTCAGTAGCCATTGATATCAAGCAGCGTGCCAATGACGACAAGTTCAAGGTGGAGGGAGATCTTTTATACTTTGAAGAGAGGTTGTATATCCCAAAAGGACCAGCTCGACTCCGAGTTCTTCAATCTCGCCATGATTTTCCAGTTGCGAGACATTTTGGATTCAACAAGACCTTGGAGCTTATTTCTCAAGATTTTTGGTGGCCCCAAATGTAGAAGGATGTGAAAGATTTTGTCCTCTCCTGCGACATCTATTCAAGATCCAAGAATCCTCGGCATCGCCCTTATGGACTTCTACAACCATTGCCGATTCTACGTCGACCATGGTCTTCAGTTTCCATGGACTTCATCATGGACCTGCCATCATCAAACTCATTTGACAGCATCTTTGTCGTGGTAGATCGGCTTACAAAGATGGCGTACTTTGTCCCTTGCAAAAAGACATCGTCCAGTGAAGTCACAACAAGGCTCTTTCTCGATAATGTGTATCGATGTCATGGACTACTACATGATATCATATCAAATCGAGGAACTCAATTCGTATCAAAGTTTTGGAGATCTCTCTTTGATATACTGAAGGTGGATATCAAGCTTTCTTCGACTTTCCATCCTCAAACTCACAGCCAAACGGAACGGGTGAACCAAGTCTTGGAACAATACTTACGATGCAGCATCAACTATCAACAAGACGATTGGACCACATATCTATCGCTAGCCGAGTTTACATATAACAACACCCTCCATGCGTCGACTCAATATACACCATTCTTTTCCAACTATGAATATCATCCGAAGCTTGATTTATTGAGTCCGTCAACAAATAAAAATCCAGCAGGTGAAGGATTTGCGAAACAACTATCAGAGCTTCAAAATACGTTTAAGCTTCAATTACAATCCACTCAAGAATCCTACAAGGCATCTGCAGATAGATTTCGGAATCAAGCACCTACTTTCAAAATTGGAAATAAAGCATGGCTTCTTCGACGGAATATCAAGACCAAGCGACCATGTGATAAGTTGGACTATCGAAGATTGGGACCATTTATCATCTAGAAGCAAATCAATTTAGTGGCATACCGTCTGGAATTACCGGCTTCTATGAAAGTACATCCAGTCTTTCATGTTTCTCTGTTGGAGCCTTATCGAGAGTTGTCTTTTTCTGGAAGAGTGCAATGTCCGCCACCTAGTATTGAGATTGAGAACCACGAGGAATACGAGGTTGAAAAGGTATTGGATTCACGGCAAAGGTGGGACAAGTTGAAATATCTTGTTCATTGGTGCGGTTACCACATTAATGAGTAAACGTGGGAGCCAGCTGAAAATCTCGCCAATGCGCCGCAAAAGGTACAGGAGTTTCATCAACAACATCCTCATAAATCTAAGCCGGTTTGACGATAGCTTCCTTTTGAAGCTTGCTCACCCAAGAATATAAGAAAGGGGGAAAGCACCACCAAAATTCATAGTTGATGTAGTTATTTTCTCCAAGATAAAGTAGAATTTTTTCAGTAGCCATAGTTTGGTCTTTTGATATGGATAGCCAAGAGATAGATACTATGCCAGCCAGATTATCTCAACCAACTAGCTCACGAAGGCGATCCCAAGATGAAGAACTACCTACACCACAACGACGATGGAGGATACCGAGTAACCGATCATTGATGATTGTATTTGAGTTCGAGCTTGCTTACTATCGTCAGCCAGAAGGCGTGTTTGCATGACAATTTCACAATGAGGACACTGAAGTTCATGCTTCGTTAGAAGTGGAAGGCGTGGGCCACCACCATTGGCTTCAAGGGCCGATGAACCACTTGCCTCGTGAACAACAGTTGGAATTCATAGCAGACTTTATGTGACAGATCTTCATTTTCTTGCGTTGGTACTGATTAACAACGACATTACTTCTCAGAGACCTCGAAGCTAAAGGAGGGGGTGATGTTAGAGACATAGTCCTTAGAACTTTCTTGAGACAAGTTTCTAGAACCTTCTAGAAGCAAGTCTCTGGAACCTTTTAGAAGCTTCCTAGTTAGTAGAAGATGTTAGGGACATAGTCCTTAGAACCTTCTAGAGGCAAGTTTCTAGAACCTTCTAGAAGCAAGTCTCTGGAACCTTCTAGAAGCTTCCTAGTTAGTAGAAGTTGCTTGAGAAGCTTCCTAAATAGGAGTATATATTGGAATCGAGGCTGAAGAGTTCTTCAGTCTCGACAACACATCTCTTGGAGCTCTAGCTCACCTCTCTAGTGTTGTTCTTGTATTCATCTGATTAATCTAGTTCTTGCCAGTTCTTCTTGAACTTCTTGTTAGATCTCAAGTCTGTGTCCGTGACACTAATCCACAACCATTTTATTTGTATACTAAGATTTTGTAATATTATTTAAAAGAGATAAAGAATTTTTGTAAAAAAGCTAAAGATCAATCTTTTGGTTGTTCTAAGATAAGACAAGTCTTAAGTTTGAATATAATAAGGGTGTCATGTAGATAGGCACCCTTAATGGATATTCAAGTAAGTCTTAAATCTTTTGGCATGCCTACATGCCTTATTTATCTATGTGTAATAAATTCAAATGAAAAAAAATAGTTTCTAAAAAAATAAAATAGTTATATTTGGTTCAAAAGAATATTATAAAAAGTTATAAGAAATAATATTAATATTAGAAATTGGATCTAAGACCTTGTATATTATATTGTACTTGACTAGCACAAGTACCATAGCCTAATATTCTTACTTTCTTTTGAAGTTTAAAAATATATAATTTAAATTATTATCAATATAAAATTTATTTTTTTATTTAAAAAAAATAAAAAGATTTTTAATTAAACATCACCTTTAGGAAATTGGTCACGAGATAACATTTAATTTAAGTACGACTAGTTTGATTGAAGCCAATAATAAAATCTATTTAAGTGTTTATTCTACATGCCATTTTTATTTATAAATAAACTATTATATGATGCACTTTACTTTAACTTATATAATTAGATGTGTTTAGGTGTTACTATCTTGTAAATTAAAAAATAAAATAACTTGGGCCTATATAGAAGTTCTTAATATTATTTAAGCTGATAAAGTACTTTTTGAAAAAATAAACAATTATCTTTTAAACAAGTTTTTGAATTGAACTATAAACAGTACTAAATAATGTATAGAAAAAATAAGTTTTTGGTTTATTAAAAAATACTATAAATTTAAAAATAAATTAAAATAAATTTATTTTCTAATATAAATAAAATTTATGAAGCACATTGTGGCTCTCATGTAGAATTGTTAAAGATTCATACCTAAATCTTTATACTCTATGTATATATTCATTCTATACTATATTTGAAATAATAAAAGTTTTATAATTGCTTTGGCATTACAATGCATCTGTTGTCTTTTTAGAAATAGATTTTGTTATTTTTTTTAATCTAAATTGTGTTTTATAAAATTTAATTTTTTGATTTAGGAACCTAAAGATTTTTAAAAAAAATAAAAAATAAACCTTATTATTAATTTTTTTAATATATGGAAAATTATATATATTTCTTTAAAAACCAATATAGCTTTTACTTTAGAAATTCAATACATGCATATGTGCCTCAAAAAACATTATTTCAAATTAAAATGTGTATATATTTTTATAACTTTAAAATAATTGAAATATTTATTTAAAAATTTAATTACCTCAAAAAATGTTCATCTCAGTAGTTGAGTTATCTACATTCGAAAGCTTAAGCTGAAGGACATTTATAAAATACATTTTCATAGTGATTTCTACAGCTAAATAATATTAAAATAAAATAGCAGTAGATTTAGCGTTTAACTTTGCATGTTGTAAAGATAAAATATATATATATATATATATATATATATATATATCTAGTATAGTTGAATACGTATTAATAATATGATTAAAACTTAACAGTGTTTACAAGTGATGGTTTATTTATAAACAATAAGTTTGATTTTTTTAAAAGTTTAAAAGAGATAGATAGATAGATATGTGGGTATATATGCATATCCAATACTTCCATAAATACGTTCTCTCACGAACCACTCTCACTTTTCCATAATGAAAGAGTAGTTGCAAAAGCGACCAACATTTTAATTTATTTTTCTCACAAAATCTTTTGGGACACTTGCAAAGTGATGACCTGTAATAGATACCAATCACCTTTTTTTGTTTTACGTTTCCGAGAAAAAAGTAAACACTATAACTTTAAAGTCTCGTTTCGCTTCTGTGGGTGCCGACACCGTCGCCGACAGAATTGGAATCCTGCAGCGGTTTCGTCCTCGAGTTGAGTCGCAGATAAACTCGCTTGCATCGACGCGGTGCGTTCAATATTGTCTCGCAGTTGTGATCCCAGAACAGCTTGAAACTAGTCCTCTTCGTTACACTGCCAGTAGCGCCATTAATATGAGGACTTTACTACATTATTTTGCTGTCTACATTGCATTATTCGTCTCTCTTCGGACAGTTTCTACTATTCCAATTCGGAACAGCATTGTGTGCGGAACATGTAGAAGGTGCTGGTGCTATGACCTACGTATTGAAATGTTGGGTTTCTTCACGAAAAATGTGGATGCATTCGAAAACTGTAATTTAGAATTTTTTCGGTAGTGGATTTCGTTTGTTGATAGGTGACGATTGTGCTTTTTGTGTTTAAGGAATATATGGGATTTACAATGGTTACACGGATTGGATATAAATGTATTGAATTAGTCAGAAGTGGAGAGAGCTGCGGTACGTTACTTTGACGGGGGGTTGCAAAATGACCAACAGATGCCCATTGAACGATTTGAAACAAACTATTGAAGTGTGTGGCTAAATTAAAATGCTTTGACAGAAATATTGTATGGCCAATGTTACAAATGCGTATTCTACTACTATGTCACCTGGTCTTCCCGTTGTTACTAAGTATCATCACCACGCTTTGTTCAGAAACCACTTCACCCCGATACGATTTCCAGAATAAAAAGATTAAAAAGATTAAAAAATTACGCTGTCATCTTCCTACAGGTAAGTAAGCTACAAAATGAATGTGTTTTGGTATCAGGTTGATTAGTGGAGCTAAAAGAGAAAAAATTGGGTGTTTACTAAGATACATGGTGTGTTCTTCATCTTGGTAAAATCAACGCCCCTGTCCTTATTCCCAGATTTAGATCACGGTTCCATCCCTGATAATGCCGTTTTTCTCAATCACCGTCACTCCGGTTTTGATGTAGAAACCAAGCTCTGGCCTTGCAGATTCTTGAACGTTCTGCATCAATCCAAACAAATGGCACTCTTCATCTTCTAAGGATTTTCATTTGAAGTGATTCGATATTACCCGACATCGACAACTAAAACCAACAAATTTCCAACTGGGTAGAACTGCGATTGGAGTTTCAGCATGTGCTTACATCAGTGTTTGCGATGATGACGTTCTTTCCGACCCTGGCGTTCTTGTCTATAATGCAGTTGCTGATTCTAGAGTTTTCACCAACTCCCAAGGGGATCTTTCCATTCTTCAACATCGCAGCTACTTCATCCTCTGTCTCGTAGTAATCAGCCCCCATCATCATTGTGTCCTGACAACCAAGCGTTCCAATTAATAGTTTTCATGAGGCACTTAAGACTGCTGCAATTTGATAGAAGGTGCGTTCATGTAGGGCAATCAACACACACTAGCCTGCGAATCGGAGGAAGGCGATGTGCATCAATGTCCAAAGCATGTCTCTCACCTTCAAGACGGAGCCAAACTCCAGACGAGATCGAACTCCGACAATTGAATGCTCTACACTGCAATTTTTTAGGAAGCATCCGTGCGAGACAATTGAATCCTTAATCTGAAAGTTTACAGTTCAGTCAGAATTAGAACTCTCAGTGCTGGATTAGGAACTGTATTAGATGCTATCGAATCTAGAGGGTCCAGTGACGAATAATAAAACCACCTTGTCTACAAAACAAATTATATTCAAACGGTTTAATTCGACACTATCTAAAAATTATTGACAATACACTGCTACTGGTTTCCGAAGGTAATAAACTTGTACATAGGAGAAGTAATTTTCACACAGATATTCCTAGTTGCAGGATTAGTAGCACACTAGACATTCAGTTATATTTCCTTCATGCTTACCATGCATTGTTCTATTGAGGTTGGGGGAAGATATCGTGGTGACGTAAAGATAGGTTTGGCAGCGTCGTAGAAGCTGAACTGGGGTGGCTGCAGGAAGACAACAGAGAAGAAAACATTTTAGAACTCCACATGGAGAATAATAATCCTTCATGTCCTACAAAGCAGACCCAGTACTCAAATCACTGACCAAGCATATTTTTATAAAACAAAGGTGCCATACCTGAGCAGTGAGAGCTAAATTGGCATCAAAGAAGGACTTAATGGTTCCAATATCTTCCCAATAGTCATTAAACAAGTACGCCTGCACAAACAGTATTAATGAGTTATTGCATCTCACACTTTTGAACTAGAATAGTAACGTCTCAAGAAGATCTAGAATCTTCTATAAATCTGAAGGTTGGAAGATTTAACGTATTATACATCCGAGCAGGATTTCTTCAAATTAATAACATCCTTTGTGAAGGAAAATCTGATGTTCTTGGGAGAGGATAAGGTTAACAAAGGGATACCTGAACATTAAACTCCTTGGCTGATGCGGGAATGATCTCTGATCCGAAGTCGTTGGCAGTTGGATATCTCCACCTGCAGTGTCCAGACAAGTCTAAATCAAAGGGATCCAATGGTTCATTTCTTATAATTAGTCATGTTATCGCGGTCAGGATTACTGATTTTGTACTTAGTTCATCTCAGAGTCCAAGAAGTTGAAACCCTCTAAGACCGTCTATAATGCAGTTCATTAAGAAACTAACCAATCAAGTAATACTAAATCGAAGCTTAAAATCAACCTGGGTTAAGATTATTGTCAGAAAACTGTAGCATACCTTAAAAGTTTCATGAGAACGTCCTTCTTGAACACGTATATGCCCATAGATGCAATATAGGGCTTCTCCACAGCTTCTTCGGGGGACAGTCCCAAAACTGTTGTATCAACTTGCTGCAAACGATCAACTCTCTGGTTACTAAACTTAGGCATCTCAAGAATAAGATGGCTCATACACTATAACTTACTGATTTTGAAGGCTGCGAAACAACATGAAAAGAAAAACTTGAATAGATAGATTTGTGAGGTGGTGCTAGTCGGATAAAGACTCACCATGTTCTTCAGATCGTTACCCTTTGGCTTCTCACTAAAATACAGAACTCGTCCTTCATCATCAATCTTCATCAGCCCGTAGTCTGAAGCACGACTGCAATGCAGATAGTTAACAAAGAAATTCAGTAATGAGTTGTCAAGTCACAAATTAATTGAATTAAGTTTTCAGATCCTAATACGAAATGGAAACGTCATACCCTGAATACTAACTGTGGTAGTAATCTCTCACGGGTTCACTTGAGAAAAAAATTGGGAATCGTGAAGGAGAGCTTTACATTTACACGCGAGAAAAACAGGACAGAGTGAGTAAACACGCTAATTTTAATCCAGAAGCCCAGCGTGTTATTACATACTCAAGGCAGGTACTTTCGCCAACAAAACTTATACAGAAACCGTTGTAACTCCAAACCAGGAATGTTAAGTATACCTGTCGTCCATTGGCACGCAAGAGATTGTGATATCAGCACCACTGTCCCTGTGCTTCTGTCAAATGCGTAAAACAAGACACTGTGAGGAACCTTGCTACCAAATCACACGCCTCTTGAGATCTTCATTTGAAAAAACTTGAGTACAAATTCAGATGACTAGCGGTGAACAACCAGAGTTATTTGTAGCTATGAGTTCAATGACAACAAAATTGAACACGGGACTGAGGATTTACCTGAACAAAGTCCATGTAGTCCATACGGTACAAATGGTCTCCGGATAAAATTACTACGTCTTCCACAACCTTATTCTTGGCATCCTGAAACATTCAACAGACGAGCCTGTAAGATACGTACAAGCGATAAATTCAGGCTTTCCAAGTGCATGAAGTGAACGTTTTGAAACTAGATTAAGATTAAAATGCTGGGTGATACCTCAAGCAACCACAAGTACTGCCGAACGGCGTCAGCTGTCCCTTGAAACCACTCAGCTCCCTTATCACCTGGAGTCTGGGTAGCTGCCAAGACCTCTACAAATCCGTCTCCAAAATTAATCTTGCCGAAGTTGTAGGTGCGTGCGAGATGACGGTTGAGAGAAGTGGAATTGAATTGAGTAAGGATAAAGACTTTGTTAATGCCACTGTTGATGCAATTGCTCATGGGTACATCGATCAATCGGTACGCACCTCCGATAGGCACCTGCAATACAGAGACGCATAGGACTCACCCAACTGGCATTCACACCAGTACTGGAGAACAATTATGTTGCACGTTTGATGGTATAATTAACACAGGATTTCATTCGTTTTGATTCTGATAACAACAAACATATTATTAATCGTAGGGGCTTAGAATAGTGCACTGCCAACACAGACTCTTGAATGAGGGAGAAGCTTACGGCGGGCTTAGCGCGTCTCTTAGTGAGGGGATACAGGCGCGTTCCCGCACCACCTCCGAGGATAATTGAAAGAACTGTTCTCGGATCAACTCGCGTGGCCTCCCCAGTGTTAACCTGGAAGCCACGCACACAACCCATTTCAGTATCTGAACGCCTGAAGTCTACCTCTGCCCCGACCAAGAATTGTAGAATGGCAATCGCCATTCTGATTTCATACATTCCCAATTAAACTTGAACACGAAGGAAAGACTGACACCAATCCATCACCGCTTGTTTCGTGGTACAATCACACAAGCAATGGCACCACACTAACGAAAACATTGGAGTGCTAACATTGACAGATGGGAACTGGACTTGAGCAGGGGCGTTGAGCGAAAATGCAACCCCTCCAAAGACAGAAGTGATCAACTATTAGACTACGGTTAGGGGCACTACACGCCGATGGACAACATTCTAGTGGGCGACAAAGATGGTAGTTGATAAAAAAAATATATAAAAAAAAACATAATTCGATCTTCAGCAAAAGCTCCGCGTAATCTCATGTCGGAGGCCGAACAAGCTCGAATGTATGCAGAAATCAGCGTATTAAGACAATACTTACAATGGTGTCTTCAAGAGGTCGGGGCTCCATCAAGACGGACGAGACCGAGAGAGGGCCCTTGGAATCTTTCCGCTGCTTGAGGGGAGCAACTGGCAACCACGCCTGAGCTTTCAGTGACGCTGCAAGTTTCTCCCCGGAAAAGCCAGACCGAAATGGAGGCGAAGCTGGGGCCGCACCCTGGCCTCCCTGCTGCTGCTGCTGCCCTTGGCGTCCATAACTGTCCCGAGAACTCGTAATGGAGCAGCAGCTAGTGGACACGCACGCCATCGTAGCCGCCATCTCGCGAGAAGGGCTAATTCTCCAAGCAACCAAGCACTAATTAAACTCCAACTACTGCTCCCTCCACTCGAAACGTCGCAGTTGGACGTACAAATCCAAACCTCTCCTACATTACCATTCCAGCACGTTGCATTGGAGGAATTCGATCAATGAAGCGACTGCTCCGAGATCACGACTGCTGCTGGAAATCAAGTAGTAAAGAAATATCCGGGTGAGGTAGGGGAGGCAGCATCTAGGAAAGTTGTAGGCGATTGGCCGGGAGAGGGGGCGGCGTACTGGTTGGTAATGATGGCCCTTCGTAGTGAAGAAATTCGACGACGAATCAAAGCCCCTCTGGAAGCATTCACCAGAACTCGAAAGGCGAGAGAGAGGGGGGGGATTCTTCCATTTCGTGGTGGGCAGAGGAGTAGGGTGGCTCCTGTGGTTGCAAACGAATTCCTCCCTCCCCCGATTTCCCAAACCAGGCTTCCAACCAAAACCCAAATTTGAAAGCTGAGTCAGAGTCAGCGAGGCAGTCATCAATCACACGAGCTGCATCGACGTTGCGCAAGGTTTCGACGGTCAGGGATCCCCAGCTACCTGAGTCACTTTCGACAACCCAACCTCCCGGATCCATGCCTTTGCCTTTCCCTCAAACTGTCTCCGTCGTTTACTCTCCACAACTACCACAGTAGGAAATCATGAATCTGCAGATAAACTCGTTGTGGAATCGACCAAATACACGAGAAGGAGATTCTGAATGGATTAGAATTGCTGCCGAGGATGAAGAAGAAGAAGAAGAAGACGCCTGTCAACGGCGTTGCCTGTTTCCGGATAGTTTGTCTTCGTAACGTTTTGTAATTTTTGCAGATTGGGAAGCTCGATCAGCCATTTCGGGCAGGAAATGAGTATTCAAACCCAGATTTGAAGTATTCTTTTTATTTTCTTCTTCTTCTTCTTCTCCAGAATCGAGAATTATTCACCGCGAGGACGACGCGTCGCGCGGAGCGGCCACGGTTGCTGATGTCATGCACGCCTTTGGGTTACTCTCACGGTTACCCCTTTCACCGCGTTCCCATAATGGTGTCGACTGTGGGACCATTCCATCTCGTAATGCCCTTGCAGGGAATGAGGCGGAAAACTCCAAAGACGAGGACATTCTGCGCGTGGAATATAGCTTTCGCTTTGCACTTCGAGTGCGAGGGAACCTTTTACTTTGGTACTTTTTAAAATTTGTCTTGGAAAATGTGGGATATTTATATGGTAAAAAAAATAATTAATTATTGAAAACGATTACTGAAATAGTGGTTTCTCATAGAAATCAATTAAATGTTTTAAACGTTATGATTAGATAATACTTCTTCTTTTTTCTTATCTTTATTGCCGACAATCTCATAACTTTGGACTTTGATTTGTAAAAACCCAAAAAAGACTCTCGGATATGATGTGTATATTTTTCAATATTTAGAAAAAAAAAGTTGTTATTTTTTCTTCTTCACATAGATTTGAGGAAACACTAATTTGTGCTTCCATTTGTTTATTTATTTGTTTGTATTTTTTAAAAAATATCATGTTTGATTCATATGCTATAATACAAAACATTATGGTCCTAAACAAGGTGTTTAAGAAGTTCACAAACCCTCCAACTACATTCAAACACCGAAATTTGAAATAATAATAATAAGGATGTTAAAAAGGACTTCCAATAAAACGAAAGACACAAGAAGCATCTCCACCACTGAGGAAAAAAGAAAGTAATACGAAGGAGTGAAGAAGGTGCAGAGAAGGTACCCTTAACCCTAAACGTGCTGCCCAAGAGGAGGGGCAGACGGGAACAGTGACCAGGGCGGGAATTGACGGTGGCAGATGGTCGGGCCAGCTGGACCGGGCCAAGTGGTGGGGACCACATAGGCCATCCCTGAAAAGCTGAGGTGGAGGTTGAGGTGGAGGTTGAGGTGGAGGGGAGAGGGAGGGGCTGACGTCCAATCCCCAAGGAGGGCCTAAAACCGACCACCCCAAATGGGGGATATTCTATTCCCGTCCCATGGCACCCAGGCCATGCTCCTTCGCAAAGGAGATTGCGCATCCAAAGTTGCCCCACCAAAGGAGCCATGCATTACTATCTGTTCTGTTGGATGAATAAACGTGCTGATACGAGAATGAATGATAAATATGTCTGGAGGAGGAAGCCGTTTGTGTAGGAGATCCTTCGAGAAGCTTCTTCCTTGTGCCTCCAAACCGAAGGGGTCGGTGATGGGTGCCATATGCCAGCGTGGGCAGGGCTTCCCTGGCCACACCATAGGCTGGAGATGGATATGTGGCAGATACTTGTGGCCATATATTTTGGTTTCTCGACATTTTGGTGGATCTTTCTATGCAACTGAAAAATAGACTTCCGTTACTTCTCTCTTTTGCGTCCTTGCCGTTATTTCCTTACTTTCTGTGCACTTTTTTGTTTTTTGTTTTTTGTTTTTCTTTTATAAAGAATTTTGTTGTTTGATTTTTCTATGTGGAATTTGTCATTGTTATTTTTAATTTGTTGGATGTGCAAGTGGCAATGAGTACAAGATGTGTTGGCATTGAGGTAAACTTCACATATCTATCATATAAAATAACTTGACAAAGTTTTAGGCACATTTGTGTAATATATACTTGGGTTATTCTTCACACAAGGTTTGGTTACATACATGACTGTAATAAGACTAATAACATCAATGTGTTTTTAATATCAAATATGAATAGAATTTTTTTTTAATAATAAAAGAAAATTATACATGCAAAAATGGCAAAAAAAATTATATAGTAAAATTCTATAAATAAATAATGAAAGCAATCAAATAGCAAGCTGGATGATTGAATTATATATATATATATATATATATATATAATGTTCAACAAATTTTGATATATTGCATGAGCAATTGATATATGAATATTGCTCAATATTGGTCAACATTAAACTGTTGGTATCATAATGAAATAACATCAAAATATATTTTTTCGTATAGCAACAGTAAAATTGGTAAATGTTTAATTTTTTTAATCCTAATTATTGAAGAGATTTCGTTTGTCATTCCAGGTCAAATAGAATTCAGAATAAAAAATGAAATATTGCAAACTTGTTAATGCACATTCAAAATCAAATATGCATTCCAGAATAAAACTCCCTTTCTGGAATTTTGTAAACAACTTTAGCAGAATTGTTTTGATTCTCTAATTTTTATTGATCAGTAACTGCTCCCCTTGCTCAAAAATTCATCCATTTAACAAATTTCAAGGACATGCTGAAAACTTTAGCCAATCAGTGAATTTCAATGTAAGGTACCATTATTTATAGTGTAAAGTAGATTGTGATGATTGGCAAAAAGAGCTTTATTAAGTTCTATTGGATATGTAAGACACATTTCACTCACAATAATTGATGTAATGAATGAAATCTATGACATTCTTTCCACCTTCACTTAATAAATGTAACTATATATTTATTACAATGCACAAGGTTCATTTCTTATATGATTTTTAATAAAGTTAGGTTGGTATAGGACAATGGTAATGTAAAGTTTGTATATTACTTAATCAATAAAATATCTATGATAACATTATAAATATGTTTGCCATCTTAATTTTTATAATATAAATAATGTTTGTACTATTAATGTCTTAAGGTGAAATTTATTAGATTTAGCTTTAAAAAATATGAAAAAAATAAATTATCTAAAATAAAATGATTGGAAATATATATATATATATATAATGAAATAGCTTTAGAAAAAAAAAATTGTTGAGAATTACAAAAATATAAAATAATAAAATAAAAAAAAAAAAATTGGATTTTAATATTATAAAAAATATTCAATAAATTATTTTCAATAATCACATAAAACTTATTTATTTACTATGTGAAGTGGTTTTATGTTGAAACTTAGCAATATAAATATATGATTGTTTGGAAATATAGTGTAAAAGATTCAAAATCTTAAATATTAAATGTAACATCAAGATATGATATGAAAACAATTACATATATACACACGCACGTATTATTAAGAGATATCATAAAATACTTATAGATTCTAACCAGATTTGATTGATTTTATGTGTGAACTTTATATTTAAAACTAATCATGTTCAAATATATGTGATAAAAAAACGACACGTTTTTATTTAAATACTTTTTGTAAATCTTATTTTTATAAATTTCTAAATGTAGTTCAAGAGCTATGTAAGAACTAAAAATATATAATTTTGAAAAAAAATCATATAATTAACTTTATGGTTAAGATTATTAAAGCTCTTATGGTTCCCAAGACATTTTAGTAGAAAAGAATGGAAAACAATTACATTTGTGTAAAGATGTTTGAATAATGCTACAAAATTAAAATAAAATTAATCAACTCCAATTTCATTAGTTTTCAAATAATTAAAATTCTTATTTTATTTTATTTCATTAACAAATTTAGTTAGATAGTAAAAAATATTATATTTTTTTTTTTTTTAGAATCAAAATTTAAGCATAGAATACTTTTTAAAAGTTTATATATATATATACACATATAATTGTAATGTACATTTTATGTACTATAATCTTAAAATTTCTGATACCATTTGTATCTAAACACATATTCATAAAAAATACACACTCATTCTTATCATTCTATTGGTTTAAATAAAATATACTAAAAATAATAGAAAAAGAAATTAAAATATTATTAATTAATTTTCTTCATTTTTTTACATGGAATTTATAAATGTGAAAAACGTGTTATATTAGATATAGTCAAGTCTTGGTTATAATATCTTTTTTATATATATATATATATATATATATATATATATTAATTATGTTATTTTAATATAACTATTCTACATTTTATTTTATAAGATAATAACTTTAAAAATATATGTTATAAAAACTTGTATTTTTTGAATTAATTAAGTTTATGATTTTATTTTTATTTTTTTGAATCATTGAGTTAATTTAATTATTTTTTTGTTTTTATCTTTGCAATTAATTTTTTTTAATTATCCTAAAAAGAGAATTTTAAACTTAAAAATTAAAATTTGTTTAGATTGTTGTGAAGTATGCTGATTAAATACATACAAACACATATTAAAAATTATATAATTTAATTTCTACAAATACACATAGTAATATAATGAGCAGATAAATATTGGTAATAATTTGGTATTAAAAAATCTAAGTCTTGTAGAGAGTAAACTGTCTTTCTTTCTTTCTTTCTTTCTTTCTTTCTATTTTTATTTTTATTTTTATTTTTTTTTAAATCAAATTTTATTGTATGACTTTTTAAAACTTTACAGTGTATTTTAAAGAATTCAGAATTTTGAGTTGTGGAAATCTGTAGCAAAAGGTCAAATAACCGATTTTATTTTCCTCAGACATATCACAAAATAAAAATTATAAAGTAGTAAATAAGAAATATTACAGTTACATTACACTTAAAAATAAATAAATTTTAGTAGAAACAATAAGACTGTAGACATGATATTTGGAATGTAGTAATATAACCTCATGTTATAAACTCTTCAAAGAACTAGTTTGTGCACAAAAATGATCAAAAAATGATATTTCCTTGAAAATATTAACACACCGAAATTCAAAAGTGAAACTATTTTTCATGTTGAAATAAATTAGGATGAGATGAAAAATTAAGAAATAGTGATCAATTTATTTCTACCATAGTTTATTTTTTACTTTGGTTACGTAGGAAATAGTTAATCCAAAGTTTTCTGTACAACTATTTGAAGATCGATATACTTTTAGAATGTTCTGTTAAAAGTATATCATTAACAAAAATAACTTATATATGTAGAAAACCATAAATAGATATAATACATTTTTAAATGTAAATAGATACATATCTATGTTAAAGCTTTTAATAAAATTAAAATCTTATTTTACAGTCCATATTATGACACATAATGAATTATAAAAATATTTTACATTAATTATTTTCAGAAAATAATACATATTATTTTTTAATATTTTAAAAATAGACCATGCATTTTATTGTGAACTACTTATGCCATAAATTTTGATAGGAAATTGAAATTCATTTGTAACTTTTGTATCTACATAATAATAATAATAATAATAATAATAATAACAAAACATCACCAGAATATATATTTACATGTACTATACGTTTTGAAGTAGAAATAAACTATGATTCTTTTGAATCTTTTGATCTTGTTGTGTTTTAGAGCATACAAGTTTAGATATTGTTTTGTTAATACCATTTAAAAATAATAATAATAAAAATCAAAATTCAATGCAATAATTTTTCGATTAAACATGAAAAAATGAATAATTATGCATTTTAATTTTTCTACTTTTTTATCTAAAGACTTGAATGTTATATTAACATTTAAAATTCATTGTGCTATAGGTTAAATTCATTGTGCTTTAGGTTAAAGTCAATATTTACAAGAAGAAATGAAAAAAGTAAGATAATAAAATAGTAAAATTGTTAAATTAGATTTTAAAGAAAATTTAATTCAGTTTTTTCCAATCTAACAAATTTAGGACGTATCAGATGTGAAGATCTTTTATGAATGAGTGTTTTTATGTAGAAATTGTAAATAATACAAAACAACTACTATCTTAAAATAATTTTGTTGTTTAACATTTTCAGTTATCTAATGATTAATTTTTAAAATTATTCTTTAAAAAAAACAATTTAAGCTAGATTCAAGTCTTTTACAAACTAATTCAAGTCTTTTACAAAGAATTATTAGCTAATCTTCCAATACTAACTTGTAATATAAATATTAACTGAATTATAAGTTATGAATAGATTATATTTATTTTTTAAAAGATATGAAAGTATTTTAGGAAATCATATATATGATATTATATCTTCTCTTTGAAAAAGATATAAATAAATATTATTAATAACATAAACATGATAAATATTCTTAAAAACATAGAATTTAAAGTTTAAATTTTTTAATTTAAAAATAAAAATATTATTATTCAGTATTACGTAATCTTCATTAATCATTTTATTCTTTTATTGATGATTCGAATGATGGTCAATATCTATTTAATTTTTTTTATAAAAACACATAGGTATATATATATATATATATATATATATATTTGAAATCAAGAGTAATTTTAAAAATTGAATTATAATTTGGATAATAATATTCTTAAAATACTTAATAATAAATAACCAAATTTTATTTGATTGCTTATTTATTAAAATTAATAATTTAAAAATTTATAATATTTTATATTTGGATTTAGTTACTTTTAAAGAAATTGTTTACATTTCAAGCCCACAACACTATTTAATTTTTTCAAAATCTTTTTTAAAGTATTTATTAACATTGTTTAAATTTTAAACTAAAAAATTCTATATGTAAAAAAATATATCTAAATTTCAAGAATTAGATATAAGTACAAAAATAATGAATAATAAAAAATAAGTTTATCATAAAAAACTATTCATATGAAGTGCACAAGGAAGTTGTCAATTTAAAAAAATTGGTAGATAAGAAATTCTTAAAAGTGTAGAAGAACAAATGATAATGAAAAATTGTCACTATAAAATCTAATAAAAACCACGGCTTGCTTGTGTGAAAAAAGGATACAATATAGTTAATAAATGTAGCCAAAACCATATCTAAAATCCAGTCAATAAAAATACTATAACACTTATATTTTTTACTTCAACTTGGTGTACTTCTTTGATTATTTTATTAATTTGGTCTTCTTATGGTTTACATGTTTATATGCCCTTTAGTTATTTCTTCTTTTTTTAATTTTTTTTTATTCTTACTTTTTTTCTTAGTATTATAATTACTAATATTTGCATCTTTTGGATCTTGGTTACTCTTTTTTATTTCAATCTTTTAGGTTTTAATTTTTAAAATTTTCATAACTTTAATCCTTAATTATTTTTCTAAAATCTAATTCTATTTGGGCTTTATTAAATTTTTATTTTATCATACTGATTTGATTTATGCTTGCTATTTTTTCCACATTATTGTAACTTTTCTTACACTAATTTAAAGTAATTTACATTCTAATTCTTTTTTGATGTACTCACTTATATATCATTTTAGGCCTTATCAATAATTTCTCCTATTTTCATTTGTTGTTGTTATTTTAAGCTTCTACACATTATTTTTATTGCTAATTGTTAGATTATTAGCATTTTTAGATTTAAAATGTTAGTTTTTTAATTTTTTGTTTACCTATTGTTTTAATTTTTTTTTCCTATTCCTTCTTTAATTATTCATTTTTTATTTATTTTTTTCTCTCTTTAATGTTTATCCTTAACCTCTTGTAATTGTACTTATTGTTCATTCTTAACTTCTTCTAAAATTGCTTTTTGTTTGTTTAGAACTTCTTGTAGTTATGTTTAGTATTTGCCTTCAACTTATTCTCTTCATTTTGAAATTTTTTGCCATCAATTGTTTCTTATTATATTTATTTTATTCCCTCAACCTCCTCTCAATATATTATATTGATTTATCCATGGTGTGTCTAATCATAATTTTTAATCATCTTCAACTTCTTCACATGGCGCTTGTTTTTTGTTATTAATTTCTTCTTAATGTGCTTGTTTCTTACTTTTATCTAATTTAAATCATGATTATTGTTTATTCTTGGTTTTTTAAAATTGTTTTTGCTACTAGCATTTAATTACAATTTACCTTCTATATTAGATTGCTTTCAGTCATAATTTATTTTTTCTTTGATTATAGACTCCATTCTTTGCCACATTGCAACCCAATCATATCTGACTTGATTACATTTCATTTCAATTTGTGTCTAGTTTTTATTAGAGCATATGATTTTTTAATTTTAATTTATTTTAATTTTTAATACTTAGGATACAATGTAAGACGCCACAACTTTAAATCTTGTGATTCCATTCCATCTTTTTCTTTGAAGGCCTTTAGTCAAATTTTTCTAAGTACTAAACCTACTATGTTGACACTTCTTTATTTTCAACCAATTAAAGAATTTAAAAATTATGTCCCTCTCACTTTGTCTCCTGTGTAAAAAGACCTCCTAATTCACATCTGCCTCATCTAACTTACGCAAATGAGATATAATGTGGTTGTACAAAATATGAGATTACAATTTGACATATAAACACAAACAACACAATGATACCATGCAATTATGCAGTGGAGTGTAGAGAACGTAGATTTAGGGTTAGGATTTCACCTAGACGAGAAGGCAACACACGTGAATAACAGAATGACGCAGTCAGACATCTCTTGTGTGGTGCAGTGCCCCAGCTTGCCTAGATTTTCGCACACATTGCTCGAAAGTGAGTCCCGTTTTGTAGCAAGCTGGTGGGTTTCTTTGCTCTAGAGGTAGATATTATGGTTACTTTATGGGGGTGTGCTAATTGGGTTTAGGGGTTTAGGAGTGTAAGGGTTTAAGGGAGGTGGGTCGTGGTTTCGCGGCCGAATTCGCTGCGTTTTTGTTGTGTAGCAGGGGTGAAGTGAGGTGGATATTAGAAAATCTCTCCTCGTGGTTTCATGGTCTCTTTGTTCGCAAAGCGCGTGTGTTGCGGGGAGAGATGCGGCGCCGCCACCATTGGACGACTTGGAAGTGATCCGTACTGTTCGTTGCGGTTGCAGGACGTTTTGAGTAGCGACAGGAGGAGGAGATAGTGGTGAGGGAAGGATTTGTTAGGGGGGGGGGGTGGTTTTGGTGTCTGCGTTGCACGTTGCGAGAGGCGTCCCTTAATTTTGCCCTCTCTCTTTGTGGATTAGTGCAGAGAAATAATTTTGCGATCGCAGTGACTAGAGAACATTGCTAAGTTTTGAGAAGATTTTGCGGTACTGGATTGACTCTTCGCTCTACACCGGCTCACATGAGTCCATTCTGTTCTGTTCAATGTTCAAACATAGTGTCCAAGCAGTGTTCTAGCTGATGTTGTTTCTCTTCTTGTAAAGTTTATCCCTCAGTTTACTCTCTTCAATCTCAATTTATTGTCTTGTCAAGATTCTTCGCATGTAATCACATTGTCTTTGAATTTCTGTTTTTCTGGTTGCGTTCGTTGTCAGTATGGAACTTCGCACTTAAATACCAGTCTTCAAAAATTACGAATTTAGATATGGCGGTTAGGTCCTCGTTACTTACATGTCCATGTTGCAATGGAAGTTTGGATTTGGTGCTGTCCTGACGACTTTTCAGTTGTGATTGCGCAGGCAGTAAAGCTTTGTAGCAGATTTTCTTTTTCCCTTCTTTGGCAACACCATGGCTCTCGTCAGCCGGGTCCTCGTCACCCCTCGGGTAGAGATCCTGTCTGCAAATCCCAGTGGTATCAACCGAAGCACGAGCGTGAGTCGCCGGGTGCAAATCAATGCTACACTCGCAAATGGAGGTGCAAAGGGTGTCGAAACCGTGGAATACCCGAAAACGAATTTAAACAAGGGTAAACATTTTGAGGTTTTCTAATAACGATTTCTGCAAGGTACTCTGTAGCAATTGTCTATACACATCTTTTTCAGTAGCATGCCTGACGGAATATTCGATTCTTACTTGAGGATCGCCTTTTTTACAGATTATTTGCCAGGCACCACGAAGGATTGGTCCCCTAACAGCTGGAGAAACAAAGTTGCGCTGCAGCAGCCAAACTACCCAGATGCTGAGAAGCTTGCTGAGACAGAAAAGGTCCTTGGCGCCTTTCCTCCTCTCGTGTTTGCTGGAGAGGCACGAAGCTTGGAAGAGCGCCTTGGGGAAGCAGCCCTTGGCAAGGCCTTCCTGCTTCAAGGCGGAGATTGCGCAGAGAGCTTCAAAGAGTTCAATGCTAACAACATCAGGGACACATTCCGGGTGCTTCTGCAGATGAGCGTGGTGCTCATGTTCGGAGGTCAAATGCCTGTTGTCAAGGTCGGAAGAATGGCGGGTCAGTTCGCCAAGCCGAGATCGGCAGATACGGAAACTGTTAACGGTCTGGAGCTTCCCAGTTACCGAGGCGACAACATCAACGCGGATCTGCCAACATTGGAGGCTCGCGTCCCGGACCCGTCGCGCATGGTGCGAGCCTACAGCCAGGCAGCCGCAACCCTGAACTTATTGCGTGCTTTTGCTACGGGAGGGTTTGCCGCAATGCAGCGAACTGCGCAATGGAACTTAGACTTCGCAGCGAACAGTGAGCAAGGCGACAAATACCGGGAGCTTGCTCACAGAGTTGACGAGGCCTTGGGTTTCATGACCGCTTGTGGACTCACCCTTGACCATCCTGTGATGACCTCCACCCAATTCTGGACCTCTCATGAGTGCCTCCTGCTCCCTTACGAGCAAGCTCTCACCCGGGAGGACTCCACCACGGGCTTATGGTACGACTGCTCCGCGCACATGCTCTGGATCGGTGAGCGCACTCGCCAGCTTGACGGCGCTCACATTGAATTTCTCCGTGGCGTTGCTAACCCCTTGGGAGTCAAGATAAGTGACAAGATGAAACCTGAAGACTTGGTTACTTTGTGCAACATTCTCAACCCAGAGAACAAGCCCGGCAGGCTCACTGTGGTCGTGCGCATGGGCGCTTCCAAGCTCAGGGAGAAGTTCCCCGCTCTGGTGCGTGCAGTTCGTCAGGCTGGAAGCATCGTCACTTGGGTAAATGACCCCATGCACGGCAACACCATTAAGGCTCCTTCAGGTCTCAAAACTCGCCCATTCGACGCCATCTTGGAGGAGGTGAAGGCCTTCTTCGACGTCCACGAGCAGGAGGGCACTCACGCCGGAGGTATTCACCTTGAAATGACGGGCCAGAACGTAACAGAATGTGTCGGTGGAGGCAATAACTTGACATTCGAAGATCTAAGCTCGCGTTACCACACACACTGCGATCCTCGTCTGAACGCATCCCAGGCGCTGGAGCTTTCCTTCATCATTGCCGAGCGTCTTCGGAGGAGACGACTTTCGGGACCCAACAACACCCTTGTGGAGAGCATTTCTTCTCAGCTCAGCGGCGTGCTCTAGAGAGCATTAGAGCTTCTTCCTTTGCGCAAATTTCCAGCTGGATTCTGAAAAAAGGACGTGTGATGAGAATTAAACGAGACTCAAGCTAATTGTTCCATACTGCGACGTGAAGATGACGGCTATAATGGACATGCAGCTGAATTTTGATACTCCACTTTGAGAGAAAACGCCCTCCTAAGAGGTGAGGATGATCCACAGAAGCCGAATTGGTTTGATTTATATTACTTAGACTGAATGTAGGCAAACTAAAATGTTTGCACGGAGTTGGGTAGGTTTCCAGAAGCTGTAATATTTCAGTTTTCACTCCAGCAATTGATGGGTTTCATGTTGCTCCTTGGTCGTCGGCATTTCAGAGCTGTCATGCTGTTTACCTACATCATGAGCCTTACTTATAGTTCATAGAAAACTCAAATAACTTATCGACCATGTGCGTACCTCGATGATCTCTTCGGTGTATTGTTGTAGTAGCTCCCAAAGTTTTGTATAGAAGAGATACTTGTTTTATGCACTCATGTCTCAACATCTCACAGGCTTCGTAGTACGGAACTTCTCTGTGTTTACAGAATTATGCATCAGCAGAGGCTCCGGATCACAGGTCATCCGCCTTCTCGGATCTCGACAGAGCATGAACCGAAACTAGTTGCTTCATCAGGTTGCTAACGAATCGCTGAGAATCGGTGGTGATTTGCGTTAAGAATACCGTTTGGATTTATATTTTTGCTGTTTTTTTCCACTAATTTTTGTTCTGGGAGAGAGCCCACCATATCTTCGCATCGTTTGCAACAATTTCATGCATCTTACTTTAAGTTCATTGCCATGTTTTTTTTTGTCGACTAATGCGTTGAGCTTATTATAGTTGAATTGATGGTCATTGTTCAGGCTCTGGATGATTTGTGATATTATCGTTGTCGCATTCTGTATGCACTACAATTTCAATCTTCTTACTAATTTGGAATAAGAAAGTTTTCTATATTCAATATTCTGGCTCTTGTACTCTGTGCATGTGTCCTTGAATACACACATGTGGGCACACATGAATGTTGGGAATATTTTACCTGTGAATAGCGGAGATTCCTGCCCTCTCCACGGAAACTAGGGTGACCAATGGGCAAATTTTGCAATGCTTCGCTTACAAAGAGTGGCAGTTTTGGAATCGCAATGAAGGGTGAATCGACATCATTTGAAATAGAAAAGAATACTAAACATACTGATTTTTTTTTCTTGCTTAGATCTTGAGGCATATTCAGAGTAGCTTTTTGTGGGCAAAACAAAACAAAGAAAGAAAAAAGGTTAGTAGAAAAAGCTAACCAATGTGGGTTTGAATGAAGACAATGCCTGGCTGAAATGGACCATTTTTTTCCAGTCAATTGTGATTCTCTTTTGGTCTCATCTTGTCCATTGTTCGAGTACCAGAATCTGGGAGAAATGGATAGAGATTTGATGAAATATTTTTATCTATTTATTTTGCTCGGTTTTGCCATCTATTTTGTTTAGAAAAACTAGTGTCACCTCCAAAGAAACATTCATCATTTAGTGCATATACATTGACAGGCATAAGTATTAATTTTGAATTAATTTTTCAAAAAAGAGACAAAAAGAAGTGTACATATATGCATATATCTATAGACAACTGTAATAATAACACAAAATCTATGGATCCTACTCACCAACTGTAATAATAACACAAAATCTATGGATCCTACTCACCAACTGTAATAATAACACAAAATCCTTTATTGTCCACTCAAAAGATACATAAACTTCTTTTTGAGATATTCAATTCCAACTTCTAAAACAAATTACAAGATTAAAGATTGTATCTTATTGCAAATAATTAAGAATAAACAAACAAAAGATACAAGAGATATTAATAACATACAAAGAGGGGTCAAAATATCAATACAAATAAAAACATAATCAATAGCCAAAATACAAACATGGCATACAAACCATATTAAACTTTGTGAGATTTGTAAATATTTTGTCTCTTAATGGATCTAAATAGGTGGCAAAAAGGAATTACAGAAAAAATGCAAATACTTCAGTATCATTTGGAAGAAAGAAAGAAAATAGACTTCAAACTTTGGAAAAACCTAATTCTCTAACACATATAAAAAAAACAAGTTTCCTTTAGATAATAAGCTTTTTATTAATAATAATTCTATGTTATAAAAAATCACAAGAATAGTTTCTTCAACTTTTGAGCTTTTAGTATCAACTAGGGAGGATATTATATTGGCCTTGATGAAGCTTGATTTTCCTTTTGTATTAGCTATTTCTACCACTAAAATCAAATTAAGAAATTAGATGGACTTGAAGATACTTCCAATAAGCAAAGCTTCTAAACATTTATTTATTTATTTATTTTTATTTTTTATTTCTACAAATAGTAGTGGCCTTCATCTATAAGGTATTAGTTCACAATACTTATAAGTGCCTTGTGAGATTGTTGCTTATTCTTTTTGTTTAAATCTATTGCATTAACTCTTTCTACTATAGAAGATATTAAAACCAACCTTTAAATTTGTTAACTACATTACATATTCCACCAATCAAATAAAAATATTCAAGATAGAAATGTAAAATATCTTAAAATAGAATAAAGGTAGTCATTAATACATTAAAGTACAAACTGAAATATAATGCAATCTAGCATAGAAATTACATCCACAAATCAATTAGCATGAATAGATTAATAATACATGATGAGTATAGAAGCACATGTAATTTTTTTTTATTAATGATAGATCTTATTTTGTCTTCTCATAAATACTAAAATTTCTTAGAACAAGATTATAAAAATTCTATACAAAGAGTATTCTTATATAGTTTAAAAGCCATTACAAATGCAATTATGTGCATAGACATGGCTACAAAGGAAATACTTAGCTTTGACATTTCTTCTTTTAATACAATTTGATCTATTTTATATAATAATATAATAATATATAATGATATATATATATATATATGTGTGTGTGTGTGTATATATATATATATGTATATATATATATATATATATATATATATATGTATGTGTGTTATATCACAAGATCTTTCATCCATTGAATTTAATAGTAGCTATTTAGTAGTAGACTTAGAGCCAAAAAATAAGACTTTAATAATATAGTCTTTAAAAATGATTGGAATCTAAATGAAGATAATTTGATAACTTTTATTTTATATACCAAAATCTTATACTTATAGCATGTCTTATATTTTTGATATATAATATTTTTTTTCTTTTAGTACTAAATCATCACAAAAAAATGTATTAGGTTTGAATTATGCAAGTTATACTCTTATCAAATGATGAGGCAAGAAAAATATAGGAACTTTATTATTTTGGCCTATATCTATATCCAACATCAATTGAAGAGTATCTTATGGCATGAACTATGGTGAGATCTTCTTTGTATGAGATTAAAATAATAAAATTTTAGAAAAAAAAAAATCTTTACCAAGATAGAGGTTGTATACTAAATTGTTTGAAGTAAAATTTAGTTTATAGATATTTATTATTCACATGAAAAATATCAAGAACTTGCTCATCTAAATCAAATAAATAGGCTATTATAATAAATATTCTTTAATTTTAACAATAAAATAAGGATTCATATACTTCATCAAGGAATTTTATATAATACAAGAGTGTTATTTTTTAAGATTTTTTAATTTATACAAAAATATATATAAACATAGAATAAGATATAGACGTAGAAAGAATGATAAAGATGATTATCAAAAATATAAATTATAATTTTATTTTATTTCATTTTATTTTAAAATTTATGTTTATATTTATATATTTTAAAAATAAAAATTATAACTTATAATGTAAATAAACAAGTGATCTACCTAATGTTTATAAATTTTGTAGCTATATTCAAAGTATTATTTTAAAATAAGACATCATATTTATTTAAGAATATAATTTATTATCATAAACATACATATTTATCTAGATTAAAGGAGTTAGATAGAATTAAATAAAAGTAATTAAATTTGATAATATCTTATGAATAAGCTTTATAAATGTAAATTTGACTTTATGCATGATTGTAAGTGACTGTCATGGATATAGAAATTGTCACGGACACAGAAATACAAGCTCGAGATCTAACAAGAAGTTCAAGAAGAACCGGCAAGAACTAAATTAATTAGATGAATACAAGAACAACACTAGAGAGGTGAGCTACAGCTCCAAGAGATGTGTTGTCGAGATTGAAGAACTCTTTAGCCTCGATTCCAATATATACTCCTATTTAGGAAGTTTCTCAAGCAACTTCTACCAACTAGGAAGTTTCTAGAAGGTTCTAGAGACTTGCTTCTAGAAGGTTTTAGAGACTTGCTTCTAGAAGGTTCTAGAAACTTGTCTCTAGAAGGTTCTAAAGACTATGTTCCCCCTCTTTTAGCTTCGAGGTCTTTGAGAAGCAATGTTCTTGTTAATCAGTACTAATGCAAGAAAATGAAGATCTGCCGTTTAGCATCTCCTAAGAACTCCAATTGTTGTTCACAAGATAAATGGTTCATCGGCCCTTGAAGCTAATGGTAGTGGCCCACGCCTTCGACTTCTGACCAAGCATGAACTCTCATATCCTTATTGTGAAATTGTCCTACAAACATGCCTTCTGGCTGACCATCGTAAGTAGGCTCGGACTCAAATACAATCACCAATGATCGGTTACTCGGTATCCTCCGTCGTCGTTGTGGTGTAGGCGGTTCTTCATCTCAGGGTCACCTTCGTGAGCTAGTCGGTTGAGATAATCTGACTGACATAGTATCTATCTCTTGACTATCTATATCAGAAGACCAAACTATGGCTACTGAAAAAATCTTACTTTATCTTGGAGAAAATAACTACATCAACTACGAATTTTGGTGGTGCTCTCCCCCTTTCTTATATTCTTGGGTGAACAAGCTTTAAAAGGAAGCTATCGTCAAATCGACTTAGGTTTATGACGATGTTCTTGATGAAACTCTTGTATCTTTTGTGGCGCATTGACGAGATTTTCAGCTGGCTCCCATGTTCGCTCATTAATGTCGTAGTCACACCAATGAATAAGATATTCCAACTTGTCCCACCTTTGCCGTGAATCCAGCACCTTTTCAACCTCGTATTCTTCGTGGTTCTCAATCTCAATACTAAGTGGCGGACATTGCACTCTTCCAGGAAAAGACGACTCTCGATAAGGCTTCAACAGAGAAATATGAAAGATTGGATGTACCTTCATAGAAGCCGGTAATTCCAGACGGTATGCCATTGGATTGATTTGCTTCTAGATGATAAATGGTCCCAATCTTCGATAGTCCAACTTATCACATGGTCGCTTGGTCTTGATATTTCGTCAAAGAAGCCATGCTTTATCTCCAATTTTGAAAGTAGGTGCTTGATTCCAAAATCTATTTGCAGACGCCTTATAGGATTCTTGAGCGGATCGTAATTGAAGCTTCAACATAGTTTGAAGCTCTAATAGTTGCTTCACAAATCCTTCAGTTGCTGGATTGTTATTTGTTGACGGATTCA